AATATCCTGTGAAAAAAAAAAAGCGTGGCTCTGATGCCAAGTTGAAAACAAAGTGGAAAAGTAGAATTGTAAAATTTTCTGTATATTTCGATATGTAGAATAGAGTCTACGGAGAGCTTATTTATAGGTTTTATTAGATGACTATGTAAGGTAATAAGATAAACACAATATCAACTATAGTCAATCAAGGATATGCACTATCACAGGAGTGATATGCAGAATCCTAAGAGATATGCAGAATCAAGTAAATATCGTAATATCACTAGGGCTTTATTTCCCACCTCACTGCGCTTCTCGCATTTTGTGTATCTCCATACATGGCAAGTTTGTTGTTCCTCCCGTAGAAATCCATATGAATCCCATAACAAATGCTAAGTTAAGCAAATATATGATCATGTGGAGAAGCAATCACTTCAACAAGTTAATAGCGAATATTATCCAATGTTGTAGGTTCAGTCATTTCCTCAAATAAGACTTTATTTGCCTTGAAAACTTTTACATTGCTCCTGAGTATATCCAATGCCTTTGGGACATCGTTGCTGCCAAAATTAATAGACCAATTCATCGGAAAGTCAAGATTTAAAGATTTAGATGCAAACCGGATACGGAGAAGACACGAATAGGTGATGGATCTATGCACGGTAATTGTTCGATTTCTTATACAACAATATTACCTATCCAACGCTTCAAGATACTTTTGTTTTCTCAGTTTGAATATATCTTCGTTGAAAATCTGTTAACGTCGAGCTGTGTGAAACCGAAAAGATACTTTTTGGCCTCATTCCACTTTTCCTCAAAATAACTACAGTCAAAATATACGCCGTATGCAAGCGCAAGCCCACTAGAGAGAAAAGAATAATCTTGTTCATAAGAAACAAGAAGTCTGCTTATATTAACTTTGATTCAAGAGACGAGCGCTATCACAAACTTACTCATGTGTAGCTTCTTTGTAGTTGTGAAATTTTGTGGGACTACTGCAAAGCTTTTAGATGAAGGCGTGATTTAACATTTAATTATTCTAACACTCCCCCTCACGTTTAATCTGGTCTATTTCCTAGTACTAAGCATGGAAATATGTAACCGGGCGGGAAAATTATTAATAAAGTCCTAAACCCGAGTCCTAAACATTTTTTTTGTGTCAATTATGTCATAAACCTTTTGTATTTGTGCCAATTTCAGTACATCCGGCTAATTTTGGCCGATTGGCGTTGATGTGGACCATTTTTTATTATATTTTAATTTTTATTCGATTTTTAAATTATTTTTTCTCTTCTTTCTCTTTTTTTTTTTTCTTCCTTCTTCCTTTGGCTCATCATCGGACCGAGGCGACAGGCTAGAGGAAAGGGCCGCCGAGGTTGACCTCATCGGCCACTGGTGAGGCTAACCTTCTAGGCCCCTGGTGAGGCGAGCCTCGTCGTCGCTAAGCTGGGCTCGCCTCGCTAGGGGCAGGTGAGGTGGCGACTGGGCAGAGGAAGAAGGAATAAAAAAAAAAAAAGAGAAAGAAAGAAAAGAAAAGGAAAAAATAATTTAAAAAATTCGAAAAGATTAAAATATTATTAAAAATTGTCTACGTTAGTGTCGATTGGCCAAAATTGGCCGCATAGACTGAAATTAGCACAAATGCAAAATGTTTAAGATTGAATTGGCACAATTGCATTAGGTTTATAACTTTTTTTGGTAATTTTCCCTTATTTTGGAGGGAATCAGGGCCAGGAAATATTTGAACTTAGGACCTCTTGCTTTGATACTATGTGAGATTTTGTGGGATCACCGCCAACTGTTTCAAAAGCTTAAACTTTTATATGAAGGCGTTGTTTAATATTTAATTTTTCTAATAGTAGCTGTGCTCTTTCAAGAACTGTAAGATAATCAAGATCAGGTGGGCACCGAGATGAGGCATTCTAGGCATATCGGGCAATACCATTTGGACAACGTCCTATCTCCGAAAATTTCAAACAACACAAATAAGCTTTTTTTCGTCGACGAGAACAAATTCTTGTGTAGTGTAGGCTCCGCATCGAAACTAGGCGGAGGAAAATATACTAGAGTGAGATGATTTCTTTATTTTCCATTTTTTTAGAAACAAAAATGGTAGATCAATCACATAAAAGTGACTATCTCGTACTTCATCTCTACTACTTGTATAGTTCCAATTAGAAGCAAGTTGTAAAACGTAAACATCCATGCATTATTAGATTTTGGTGAATAGAATTACTCTTCTGATTTCTCGGCAAAGTAACTCTTTGGATCAAACATAGAAGAAACTAAGAAGCGAAAATCATCAACATGTATTTTAATGTCCATCCCGAGTTAAAACATGCAAATCCTCTTTCTCAAAGTTGATCAAAGTCAACGTGATATGCATTACACTTGATGATCGGAACTACAAATGATCTCCAAAGAAGCTAAGAAGCCCCATCAACATCATAGTGAAAGGATCTATGAAGAGCTCATGACAGAGAAAAAGATCAACCAACCAATATCTCTTAGACATTGTAGAGAAAGAAAAGTCCCATTTTTTTTTGACAAGAATGCCCAGCATAAACCATCAGAAGTTGGCCTTTTTCCTCCAAAAGTAAGATTTTCATGGGTTGATCAGTCAAATCAAAGAAGAAAATGAAAAACAAAAACATGGGAACTGGGTAAGATGGCAAATTCAGACAAGGAAACAAAGAAAAAGCTAACTTGAAACAAGAATGGGAGTGATCAAATGCCAGTGTCGATGAAACTTTTTCTAGAAGAAAGAGATCTCTTTGTAGCTCTCTCACAAAAATTATTCAATATTGTCACTCTATTAATTTAAGTTTAGGGACAATATTGAACATTTTCATATAGTCCAAGGACTAGATTAAACATGTATCAAAAGTTCATGGATCACATTGAACAAATTCAAATTTCAGGGGTGATATTGCACATCAGGCTAGTTTAGGGACCAGATTGAACAAATTAAAAACTTCAAGGACCACATTGCACATTGAGTTGGGCAAAAGTTCAGGGACAATATGTGTCATTTTCTCCATTATAAATGCTGATAAACAAAGAGCCTAAATTATTTGATTCCTTGCTTTTCGGTTGAACCCTCTGAGTAAGTCATCGCTTGTTCAATTGATCATAAAGCTCTTCAGCTGAATCATCAGCCCCAGGTTTGATCAAGCATGCAGCTCTTTGCTTCTTGCTCGATGGAAGGCGACGACCCCATTCACCAGCTGATTCTGCAGGATCGATGGCGCAGACTCCTCCATGCATCAGTCCAATGGCAAAGTGTGTTGGATTATGCAAAAGCCGATGTCGATACCAACTGGGTATGCATCGAAACTGCTTAACTTGAACAAAATCTTCGTACCGTTATTCTCTTTCGATTTAAGCGGCTATTTATTATATGCTCGTACGGCGATCGAGATCGCTTTTGAAAATTTATTTCCTAACGGTCAATGGGAAAATTTCCGCGTAAAGGAAATTTAATCTCCGGAAAAGTGTTCCACTTGATTTTGAGTAACTAGTTACACGGGCCGTGCATTAGGTGCTTTGATGGTCCCATATCGGCGACTTGTAATGACTATTCCTTGTAAATCTTGTTTTACGGGCCTCAAAATCTCTAGTCCTTTCGAAACCGCCGAACGGAGATCTACAGGTGATTTTCTTTGGATGTTGTCGAGTCTTAGAACAATCAAAAAGATCTCAAAATTTGTTTTTACATCATTGTAAATATTTGCGAAAATTAAGATCGCTTTCGGAGGTTTTTTTTTTTACGGCATTCTATTATGGTAATCATACCTAATCTGGCCTGATCGAGCATGAATGTGCATCCTATTGTGGGTTTCTTGGAATGGTAATGTGTCAATGCATAATCCAAAGGACAGGTTTTTATTACCAAATAAGCACCATGAGAACATCCTCCATTTATTTAGATGCCATATGCTTGAGATTGCATATTCATTTCATTGAGAAAAGAATGGCCTACACACAATACAAGACACACCTTTGTTCCCATTTTTGGATATCTAGGCATGAATCTCTTCTTCTTACTAGATTTGGGTTTTCTAACAACTCATGTTGATTTTTGCCTTCCATATACAGACATTCCTATTTAGGGTTTTCCTATGTAGATTATTATTCCTATTACGGTGCTTGGGCATATCCTTTTGGATGGACCTGAATTCTCCATACAAGTCAGATGCCAATATTGTGGATAAGTTTCCATCATCGACAAATATTTTCTCACCCTTATTTGGACCGACGAAGAGCGTCTAGTTAACTTGTGCCTATGAAGCGTCCATGTCCTTCACCTTATCAACGATGTAAAACGGTCCTTCGGTAATATTCACGAGTTTTCATAAGTACCCTGTTGCCCAGCTTTTAGAATGTCTATTTTTTTTTTTCACTTCCATAGTTAGAATATGGTTAGGGCCTTCAAAGCTCCTAAGCCTAGCCTTACTTCACTACGTAGAAAAGGGTTCGTGTCTTGTTTAAATTAGTATTCTCTTGAGATTTCTTAGCTCAATTTTGCATCTCTGCTCCTAACATATGGAGAAGATTGCAACGGTAAATTCAGATCGGTTGATCACGAAACATCTCATCGACATTCTCATTCTAACTTTCGCCTTTTTTTCTTGGGAAACACCCGATCAACAGCTACAGTAATCAATCTCCCTTTCACAGGTTCTACGGATCGATGCCCGAAAAAAAAAAAAAGGGTCCTCTAGGACTTGCAGGATCGATTTATGTTTCACTTCTACGATAGTACAATATGCAAAAGATGACCTCCCCTTTTCTTCACCATTATGATTAGGGAAAAGAACGACGGTCCAATGCATAGGACACATCTATTTCATTTCTTTGCAATTATTTTTATTAGTAATAGACATTTTGTTTATTATATCAAGCCTCACTCGCTCGCTCGCGATCACTAGCGGGTGGTGACTGGGTGAGTCAACTCGGGCCTCGGGGGCAATTCCCCCTTTTGCCCTCGAGGTTTGCCGTAATCCCCACCGTGTCCTGAGCAAAACCACCCCCCCCACCGCTTCGCAAAAACCCTAATCCCGTCCAGTCCCTTCTCAAATCCAATCCACGGCTCCCCCCTCTCTCTCTCTCTCTAGCTTTCTCTCTCTAGCTGCTGCTGCTGCTGCTGCTGCGGTGCTTGTTGCCCTAGGAAATGGCCGCCGCGTGCTCCGCCGCCGCCGCCGCCGCCGCCGCGAGCGGCTTCCTCAGCGCATTCTTGGAAGCCCTGGTGGCCGAGGCCGCCGTGTCCGCGGTCAACGGCCTCGCCTGCTCGCTCCTGATGGTACGAAATCTTGGCTCGGGTCCTCGTTCCTCTTTGCAGCTTTATTTCGGTGCTATTTCGATGCGCTGTGCTCTGTGCTCTGAGTGAAGTTTTCTGCTTAAGGGTGCTCAGTTTTTTTTTTTTGGTTTTTTTTTTTGCTGCTTGTGGGCGAATTCGATTTCCGACATAGGGTGGTTCGGATTGTGTTTGGAGTTTGGTTCGGGATTTGTCGGTTTTCGCGGCTTGTCGTTGCCCATTTGCTCTTGCTTGAGCTCTAGCTCTAGCTGTGACTCTGGGTGATTCGGCGCTTACTCGGGCCTCTGTTAGCATGAATTTAGGGCCCGCAGATAATTTCAGGGGATGGACGTGGTCACCATGGTGTTTCGGTGCTTATTGTCAGTGAAAAGCGAGGAACTTTTTGTCTGAAAAAGGTAAAAAAGAAAGCAAGGATTTCAATTCAAAGCGGCAAAAGTTAGCCCACGAGTTTTGCGAATTGAAGGAAAGGCTAGTTAATCCTCGAGATTGTTAGAATTTTGCATTTGATAGGAGGACTTGGAAGTTCATTGGCAGGGGGAAGCTGAGTGGATGGTCTGCACCTTGAGACAATATTTGATGTGTTCGCTTCTCACAGCTACTAGTCTCGAGAGAACTGGAAAGTAAATAGATTTGTTGGTTGAAGGCATTGTGATCTTATTAAAAAAAAAAAAAAATCCTGTGCAAACGGAGTTGATATGTCAGTCTACTTTCTTCATTTTTTGCTGGCAAAACATCTCGTGGTGATTTCAATATATATGCTGCTGAAATCCTGTGCGGCAGAGCCTGTTATTTTCAGTCCTCCTCGCCTGCCATATCAGTTTGAGACCATAACCTATGATAATAATTTGTATGCCGGAAGGAAGCGAAGTCAGTGGAAAAACTTCAAATGGCATTCTCAGTGTCCAATGTCACAATGTTTTCTCTCATGATTTTTTGGTCGACATAAGTTTCATTTATTTTATTGTAAGTAATTGGCTTTTGCTTTGATCCACTGCCTTTGTGTAGAATCTATAGATAAGCGCCATTTATCTTCCAGCATTTGTCATCTATGTTGTGATAATTAACAATTTTTGAAAATTCAAAATTTATTTTGGTTGATGTGACATGTTGGAGAATTAAAAGAACAGTGTGTGTGCATGGATTCAATCAAGGTCCAGCCGTTGAAAGGAAATTGCTTTGTTTATTTGTTTTTTCTATGCCAGTGAATTCATTTCACAAACATTATGCTTGTTATTGGGTTATTATTTCCTGAACATCCTCAACTTAGAAATATGGAAGAAGTCTTGCTTCAAATAATACCACTGTTTTTGGCCATAAATACCATTTGCAAAATCTTTGTTATGCACTCTATCTTGTGCTTGTATCTTATAGTTGTATGCTGGATAAGTGGCATACAAAGGCGCCGTTGTTGCTCTTTGCGAATTGCTTAAGCAAATTGTTCTTTTTCTGAGAACATTCAAATTTGTTAAGATAGATTATAGAGTTTAGTTACTTGATGTTGTTTGCATCTACATTTCTCTCTGAAATATCATCTGGAATTAGCTTCCAACATTTTCCCTTATACACTTACATTTATGTCCTAGAATTTTTTTAGGTTAGGGTTCTCTTACATTGTCGGCAAAATAATTTTTTCTCCAGCATTCATGAAGCTATCAAAGGCATTCCCTTCGTGGCACTGTGATGTTGGCGCAATTCTTAAATGCTGACTTTCTGTAAAGATGCTTATGATTTGGTGCTGGTATATAATTTTTCTTAGTGAACATTGTGCTTTTCTGTTGATTCCTTTTGCTTATGTCTTGCCCAGGTGAAACCTTTGATTGGTGCAGTCAGCATCCTTCCAAAAGAGCTGGACACATCTCAAAGGTTAGTAGTGAAGTAACTTCCCTGTCTCATTTCTTTCTGGATTACCTACCAAAAGCAACATCACGTTAACGCTTTTTCTTCAGCTTCCCCATTTCTGAGTTGCATGCTGTGAAGAAACCTGGTCCCGAGAACACAGATGGCAGCGAAACTGAGGATGATGAAGATGAGGATGATGATGAGGGTGATGACCAGGATGACGATGGAGGCGAGGAAGAGGATGGCTCAGGTGAAGAGGGTGAGGAGGAAGGGGATCCAGAGGATGAGCCTGAGGCCAATGGAGAAGGGGGAAGTGGAGATGAAGATGATGATGATGAGGATGACGACGATGACGATGGGGAAGAGGAGGAAGACGATGGCGATGAGGACAATGAAGATGAAGATGATGAGGAAGAGTTACCTCAACCTCCTGCAAAGAAGAGGAAATGAGATTGTATCATGCTTCTAATGGCTTGTGTTTAATGTGGTGTTCGCTTCGTTGGAGGGTAGGTTTTTGCTAGTATTAGGCTAGAATTGGGGGATTTGGGTTTGTATGTTTGCTTCTTTGCATTAGAAAAGATGCTTAGCATTTTGTCGTGACCCTAGTTCAATAATTCTAGTAATCGCTGTATTACCATCGTGATCATTCTTCTTCTCTCTTTTACCCTACCATCTCTAGTTTCTTGGATTGCTCCTATACATATTAATTTTATTTCTCCAGATTAAAAGATGAGCTGCAAATTGGTTTTGAATTCTTTGGCTTTACGTGGACGGATTAGTTATGTGGACGAGTTCGTCACTTTTCTTCCTGGTCAAATCCTAGAGAGAGCGTGCGTGCTAGTGGGCCTTCGGCAATATAAGCTATTGTGCTGAAACGTGATATGGACTCTGAGAGTATTGGAAGATATCAAGAGTGCGCTTGGGCAGTTCATATGTATGTGAATGTTTTCTCAAAAGAAGTTACCTGGAATGCTGACTTGAGGACTTGTTGAGGCATTTCTTTTCCTGAAGTTTAGGGGAAGGGTATGTCTACGGTGCCTAGAGAGACTGTCAATAAAAGGAACATGGTAGCGATTTTCGGCAATTCAATTCGAGTTTGTGATGAGAATAGTTTAAGAAGCATTACACCTCGATAGCCTTGGCTCAAAGGTCGACCCAAATCCAGAGAGAGAGAGAGAGAGAGAGAGAGAGAGAGAATTTATTCATGGGTATCTATGGCACTTGGATATGAAGGGGGAAACATGGAGACTTTCTTCTCCCTTTGTCTGGCGTCAACTGTTTTCAGCAACCGGTCGAGACCGACTCGGCTGGCCACAAAAGGAACGGAGGATCCCAAGCATAAGAGAAGCTGACCGAGCCCTTTGGTGCAAAGGCTTTTCCACTTTTGAGCAAGGCATCTATCCCCCAGCTTTGCGAACGTTGAGGGATCGATCACCTCGGCGCTCTCAAACCCGGCGCACTTGCGCTTGATGCCGATCTGGGCACATGCGCAGTTGTTGATCGCGGTCACCCTCCGCTCCGGCTTGCCCTGTCTGATCCTCCTGGTCCGGACGTTCCCGACCGTGAATGTTTCCAAAGAGCATGCGCACAGCCCTGAAATCGAACAAAAAAACTCGACGTGAATCCACATATTGCAATTGAAGAGCGGACATGAATGTCCAGATCATTAGAGCCGGAAGGCAATCTCTACACCTTCGGTGATGAAACTGAGAGGAAGACTTGCAAGCAAGGATTCGATGCCCGTCATTATATCTTCAACTCTGTTTATGTTTTCCCTTCCCTAGGTTCCTTTATCTGCGAGGACATGGCATGTGAGATTATGGACTATTTATGGTGTTTAATAAAACTGTAATATTTTGGTACGTGTGATATTTCCTTGGGGTGATATTGATTTCCTATTAATTGAGTTTCCTTCATAATTATGGTTGAAGCATTAGTAACTCTCCTAACATGAGAATGAGAACCCAGAAGTATGAGTACTCCCTTCAGAAATGGTCCCAAACTTTTGAAGGACGAAATAAGAAAAAGAATTATGCCATCAATAATTCATTTGCTCTTTGCATGAAATCTAAAATTGGTCATGAACATATTTTCAGACCATTAGGAATGAATTCAGACGACCTGTTCATCCACGTCTTCACATTCGACATCACCAATTTTCTTGGCGGAATTTAATGCATATATCGTTCATTGTTTTGTAACTATACCATGGTCATTGAATTTTCTACGGCCACTGTCTATAGGATCATTACAGCTTTTCTCATTGAAGTTTTTCACGAATATTATCTTAAACATTCTGCAGAGGTTCTTAAATGGCTTCAGAGTACAGAGCTCCAAACCTTGAAGTCATACAATATATTCTTCAGCAAAGAATGGAAGCTTGACACCAAAGGTCCATTAGGACAAAGCAATTGTCCTTATCCAATTGCTAGATTGTACAAATCTTTTGGACGCAGTTTCAGAGAAATTCATGGAGAATATTGACAATCTCAGAGGATCTTCTGTAAAGAGAATCCAATTATTTCGAAGTTTATGAGTATTTATCACGAGGAAATGCCATTGATTTATTCCCACTAATATCATACAACCTGAGATGCCATCAACCAGGCATTAGATGTGTACAAGCGAAATCAAACATAAACAATGGATTTTTCGCAAGACTTGGGGGATTTCGGAAAATCTTCACGTGGCAACCGGACTTTAGCTCTAATGAAAATTCTAATCTTGATTCAAGTCATGAACCCATCAATAAGTGAAAGAATCTTTTGGAGTTCACATGATTACTTTAATAAAGTTAAAGTTAAAAACTTTGTTGTTTTATTGTGTTCGTACCAACTCTTTTCGGTTTCAGTTTAGTAACTCTAAAACATTTCTTGCCAGTTTGTAATATGCTTTATCGGCCTTACTTATAGTGAAAATTCTTTGTATTATCCTTAATCTCAGCTACATAAGGCGAGCTGATGTGTGAATAAGAGGCAAAGTAGGGAATAGAAAATTTCCCAAACTTCTATTATATTCTCTCAAAAGGTTCTGCGAAACCTTTTTTGTTGAGTCCTAGTGACATTTGACGGATAGAATTTTAGTTTCGATCCGATAAGACGAGCTTATTTCAACGAGTGTGCTCTCCACTTCTCATTTTAAGTCAATCCTGTAAATTAGAAAGTTCTTCAAAGTTGGAAGAGTCTTAAGATGGAGATTATTGTTATTCAGAGACCAACATCGAATCTAGTCGTGTGAAAAGGTCAAGAAAGGTCATTGAAAGCTTGGTAAGAAAATAGTCGAGACGAAAGAGAAGTTAACAGTAGAAAGTAAATGCGATACATACAAGTAGCCGCGGAGTCGAAAACTGACATCTTATTTCTGCAACATGTAAATCGAGCCGCACCCTACAAAGTTCAAGAACATCCGATTTGGCCGTCGCTGACGGCAAACGGGAAAGAAGCATCCATCTCATAGGTGAAGCTGACAGACTCGTTCACGTGGATCGGATCCCCATTGTTGACGAGACAAACGTCCCCCTGCTTCGCGAGGACGGACGGGTCAATCTTCTGCGCCGCGGGGTCGAACCCATTGCAGGTCACTGTCAACTCCAGGACGGTGCACAGGCATGGGTTGCTGATGGTCACACTCCACTTCGGCTTCCCGCCCTCACCGATCCCTTCTGCTTTTTGCGTTATCGTGATGTCTTTTGGAGTGCGACTGCACTGACCCTCACTAGCCCCTGAAATGGAACGTGACCCTGAAAAAAAATCAACATGACCTCGGCATTCGCGTCCCTGGAGATCAAAGACCAGGGACAACGTTAGTTACTCTTACCTCTGAAAGCGAGACCCAACACGAAAATGGTGAGCAGAGCAGCGACGCTGACGATTCTTGCCATCGCGCTTTGTCTCGCACACAGAAATGCGAAGCTTGAGGAGGGCTTTAAAAGAAGAGAGGAAGAAGATAAACCAGAAAGTTATCTAGCATTGATTGGGGTTTCCTTCTTTGACCGATCGTGCATGATAGGCGCCACCTTAGCGCATCGCAGATGAGCCGAATTTGGCTCGGATCAAGGCGAAAATCTTGGATGCCCCATGACGTTCCTTTGCTTTCCCTCAGACCAATGACAGTCACTGAGCTTCTCCGGTACCTATGTCTCGAGCTCTATTAGTAAAGTATAACACGCGAAGATGTTTCATGAACCATAAATATCATCGATTCTGTCCGAAAGATAAGGAAAAGAAAGAGCAAGGATGTGATAATATTCTACAATAGGTATCATCGTGAGTTTACATCACATATATTTTCGTTTGAAAAACTTGCATTCTATACTATTATCATCATAGAAGGTAAAGAAATGCTGAATGTCACTACTATTTATTACTATCCCATCATACATCAGAAGAATATGTGTTTATCTAAATTTAGCAAAAGAATATAGGTCTATCGGGAAAATCACCTAATTAGTTCTAAATCTATTGGACGGATGCCAATTAAATCCTAAACTTTTCAATTATGTCAATATGATCTTAAACTTTTGCTTAAAATTCCAATATAATCATTCTAATCGATTTTTGCCAGAAATCGTTGACGTGGTGACTGAGTCATTGCCGGCCGTCTTATGTAGACACATCGCCACATTAGCGATTTCCGAAGAAAAGTGGTCGGAAGGATTACATTGGAATTTGCACAAAAATTTAGGACTAAACTGGCAAAAATAGGATTGACATCTGTATAATAAGTTTATGCTTGATTGGACAATTTCTCCTATGTCTATCTATATAGTTTTGATGTAATTGTATTGGATTTTGTGTGTAAACAACTACGTACTTTACATGACTCAACAATGTATGTAAAAGGAATGGAAAACAGTTACATGAGTACAATACTGTAACAGCCCGAATTTCGATGTAATTCCGGGACCAATAAAATTGACATTATTTCGCATTTCATTTTAGTAAGTCTCGCCCAGAGCTGATCACTCTCGGGATATTAACTAATGGGATATGGCTAACTGGGAAAACGGTACGTGGACCAGGGATCGATCGTGAATCGGATACCGATCTCGAGAAATGATGAGGGAATATTTTGTGCCGACATGGGTCGATCTTAGGAAAAGTGATGGATTTGGTTTGGCCGAGGCCAGCGATGTACAATCGGATTGCAGGTGACTCTGCACGACCGAAAGTGCACGTGGTCAACCAGTCCTGAACTTGAACCGAACGATCTCGACCTCTGGGACTAGTGATAATTTCTCATTCTCTCGATAATTGGGACCGTCATGACTCGGATAACCCTAGGTCGATACGCGTAACCTCTAATCAGCTGCCCGTTAGTGAGAGACCCTGAAATTAGAAATTTAGCGAGTTTTGGTCACGAAATTAGACCCGGACTTCGGTGTCGATTTTCGAGGCCGAGTACGACTAATTTTGCAGGACTGACGTCATTTTGGGGTGGCCACGGACATTTAGAGTTTTTTCGGTCAAAAACTGGAATTTTGGCTCGGAAGTGAAAAATAATATTATTTTATTCCCAGGACTTTGCAGTTGATTTTCGAGGGCTTAAGAGGCTATTTCCGCCATTCCGACGCCATATTATGTTGGCCACACCCATTTGGGGTTGGTATAGCCAAAAATTGGGATTTCACCCCGGGACCGGAAAAATGACCGTTTTGCCCCTTGCCTATTTTTGGGTTCCGAATTTTGGGATTAACTTGGATTAAGTGAAATTAATTTCAATTGCATTATTGGACCTAATGACCATTTCGCCGCTCAATTATTTGGATAGGATCAATGTCGGCCGTCGGATTAGGGGTATTTTGGTCAAATTCTCCAGATCGGCGACACGTGGCACAATTAGGCCACTATTTTTGACCGGTCTGACCAGCCCACTCTCTCTCCTCACTCCCCATTCGGTCCCCCACCTTCTCTCCCGTCCGACCAGCCTTCCTCCGCCCATCCTCCTCTTGGTCGCCGTCCGTCCGCCGGAGCTGCCGTTCGCCGGAGCCGCTGGTCGCCGGCGCCGCCTTACCTCACCACCGTCACCCTCTCGCCACCATCTTCTCTCTCTCTTCCCCGTTCGGCGCAAGGGAACCGCCGGACCACCGTGAGCCGCCGTCCCCCTTCACCGTTCGCCGCCGGGAAGCCGAGCAAGCCGCCGGAGCGCCACCGTGCCGATCAGCCACCGTCCGCCGTGAACCACCAGCCGAACAACCGTCCTTCACCCTTTCCCCTGTTCTGGCCGTGAGGACGCCGGCCAAGCCGCCGCCGTGAGCTGCCGTCGCGCCGTGTGCCTCGCCGGAACGCCGCCGCCGATTCCGCCGTTCACCGGCAATTGGCCGCCCGTTCCCGTCGTCCTAGTTCAGAATTTAAGTGAGTATAATTTCCTAAACCCGGTCTAGGACAGTGTACATTTTAGACGGACGTGGTTTAGATTATACTGGGGCAATTTGAGGAAAATTGATACTGGTAGTTCGGGATTGAGTTTCGCGGTAAATTTAGTGGATCTTTGGGCTGAATTGAATTGTGGAATATGCATTGGGCCGCACGGTATTAATTGGCCAAGAGAGCGAGTTATTCGTGAAATTGAACATTGTGTGGTGACGAGTGTCCGTGTTGTGTGATGCTCATGTTGTATTATATTGCATTTCATGGCCACGCATTGTATGCCGAGAATGAGGCATGAATTGAGACTGTGCGAGAATGCGTGCCTGACATGAGCATGTGATCACCTAATCGCCCTGATGCGTGTTACGCGGGAGTTCAGATAATAACTGGCTGTGTGTATGTGTGGTCACATTTCGCCCTGACGCGTGTTACGCGGGGTGTGCTGTCCTGAGGCGTTTTACGCGGGACGATGCCCGGTACGTCCAAAAGACGACCAACCTGATGCGTTTTACGCAAGCTCTGGTTCGTAAGGAGTGCGGTGTTGCGCCTGATGCGTTTTGACGCGGGCTAGAGACACTGGGCCGGAAATGCGTTTTACGCGGGCCACGGAGTGTTGTGAATTAAGGAAATAGACCTGATGCGTTTTACGCGGGTCGTAATAAATTGAAATTTAGCATTGAGCCAATGTGCATTGTGAGACTCGACGAATATCTTGCGAAATGAACACTGTTGAGTATGAGCATGCGTATGGCGTACACATGGGTATTGTGTTTATGCACGTGACTTGATTATTATATTGGAATACCTAACCTGCAGGGTCAAGGTGATGAGCGATCTGGGCCCAAGGGCCTAGGTCATTGTTGTGTATTGTGTTATTTATCTGTCGGGAGAATGTATGTTAGCCTAGCCTAGGTTTAGTGAATTTTACTCACTGATATTCGTCTCACGGTTCAATAACCCAACATTTCAGACCCCCAGCCGTACGATGCCGAGGACACCACCTCTTTTTGGGATACCGCATTTTATTCAGCGGTCATCGAGTGTACATCCCTGTGGAGACGGAGCAGCTTATGTGAGATACTACTCAGTTCTATTCGTGAATGTGGGAGAGTCATACTACCATACCCATGAGTACGTGGCGTGGTGCTACAGAGGAGTCGATGGCATGACTAGACCCCCTCTCAGGACTTTTGATGTTCCGGTGGATGTAAACGATGTAATGATTCCGCAGATGGCAAGTGGTGAGATTTCAGACCCTCCAACTCCGCCTGATTGGAGCAGCTAGGGCGAGACCGTGGACGGACCTGCCCCTATGGATGAGGAGCCCGAAGTGCTGTACGCTGATCCCGAACCCTTAGACCATGAGGACGAGGTTGAGCCGGACGCCATGGAGTTAGACCCGGACTAGGACGGGGAAGTTGCTAAACTAGGATCTGATGTAGAAATAGGTGCTGAGGACGAGTTGGGATTGTGCCTTGAGCCAGAATTGGAGCCGGATGCAAAAGATGAGTGGGCTGATGCACAAGATATGGATTTGGAGGAGTCAGAATCTGGTGAGGACGCCTCCGAGGAGTTGTCAGATGATCCTTTAGAATCCTCAGATTCATATTGGGAACCTTAGGTTGTTCTGAGCCACAGCCAGCAGCGAGGGCGGGTGACTTTTTGGACTGTAGCCCTCCTTTTGAGTTTAGTTGACCTCCCTAGCCACTCCCATTTTTGACTTAGTGGCTGCTAACTACGTGTGTTGGTTATTTTATTGTACAGCTGAATATTGTAAAAAGTTTCCCAATAGTAATACAAGGTGTATATATTTTCAGCTATATCGATTGCTGTTTGGCTACCATTGTCTCTTATTTGATTTGTCAGGGTTTGTTTAATTATTGCTTCCGCTTATGCTTGTTCCACGTTTGGGGTGTTGGGTCGGCGACGCTTCCTGGGACGTCGCACACGAATCGACCGCTAAGCGGGATGTTGCGTTTTGTTGGGGTACGGGGCGTGACAAATACCGTGCGCGTAATGATACATATACACTTATTTAACCAAAAATAATGAGTACTTTTTGATGAATCCAGAAAAAACAAAAGAGAAGCAGAAGTTGAACCAGAAATTACATAAGCATGTATTAGGGTTTTACTAAAAGAGATCTCGAGCAAGTATTGCTACACTCATTTTATCGGGATCGACTCAATCGCATATCATAAATTTCTAAAACCCACATTTATTTCCATCGAACTACACGAAATCTAACATAACTGACGCAAAGTGGTTGATTTTGTCCATCCTATCGTCTATTGAACGAGTCCATGCAATTTTCTCCCCCTTTGTCCTGCTATCTCCATTGCTCTGGTTTAGTAGGGTGACGGTCGTGGGTCTAAAAAAGTAGCCACATTTTTCTCTTGGAATTTGCAATAACTGCTCTACATTATCATGTCACTTCTCAGATCACTCGTGCATTGTGCATGGTTTTAAGGCTGTTGGCCCATAAATGATTAGATCGCTTCTTCTTTGGGCTCACCTAATGCTGGGTTATTATCTTTTAAGCAGCATGAGGCTCCAAGTGGGCCAAGTCCTAGATGACCGCACATTGCATGAGACTGTCCCAATCAAAATGCAAAATTGATCCCAAAGCGGAAAACAAGAGAATTCACCAACAAGGATTACATATATACTTCTATTATTCATCCCGTATTTCTTTCAAATAATTAACAATAGAGGTAATCGATTTCAGGATAAGGGTAAGGCCGAAACCTAGAACCGACCCTGCAGGTACTAGTTATGCTATTTTATAATCAAGAACCGAATTGATTGCGCTTATAATCAGCCTAGAGCTGAACCGGCCAGTCCCATGTTTCAGTTTACTTGAGAACTGATTTTATTTTCTGAAAATCAGATTATGTCTTTCATATTTTTTTTTGTAGCCGGTGTTAAGTGTTCCCTTGGTAGCTGAGTGGAAATGCACACTAGCTTCATACAACATCCTAATTTTTATCATGGGAAGTGTCAAATCGGATTTGTGTTCTCACCAACTCTTCTACATCAGAAAAGACCTCCGAAAAGATCATAAAATTATACATTTTACAAGATATTATTCTCTTTAAAGTCACTTTCTCGCCACGAGCTTCAACGCCCACTCTTTTTATCAAGTTCAGAAGGGTGAAACCTCCATTTCAGTTGAGCTAAGAAGAAAAGTTTGAATTTACCCTCGTAAAGATTTGATTACCGGTTGACCCGACTGATTTGGTTGTACTTGGATGGCTCGCCTACGTGTTTTTAGCCTTTTCAACTGATACTCATGACTCAAATCCACCTTCTCACCTCATAATCAAATTAGATGTAATCATGATCGTGCCAAGGGAGATTCTAAATCTCATGATTCCATAAATGCTTGCTTGGTTTCAATAGGCAAGAACTAGAAAAAAAGAAAAGAAAAAAACAGCCTATTTTTCTAAAGATTTTCAGAAGAACTCTATCTACCCGTCTCAGATCAAACTTTCCTAGAAGTCCCTTTGCTTGCTCGGCCAACCAAGATGTGTCAAGGTTGACTCAAGTGTGTAGGGCCACGCTGCATACTCAAACGCCAGTGGCTGTCAGGAGGATGACTTGGGTATTTATAAAACTGCGAAATCCCCTTCTCTCACTGGTCAAACCTTGGGAGAGAATCCAAGAATATCATCGGCATATACAGTAAGAGAAGCGTTGAACCTTCCCCAGATGGGAACTGTTCGATTTCTCCACCAACTTTCACTCCACGCTCTGCATATGGAGCAAGTCTAGGGAAGACCATTATCATCTTATCTCCTGCGCAGTTGTCAATTTATTTTAAGTTGCCATTGTCAGTCCCATGCACCCCTTACAAGCATGCTTCACGTAGGTTTAAAGCCTTCATTTTCTTATTTTCCTTATTGTGGTTTGAGCCTTGGATTCAGTTAAAGTAGAACTTTACTTTAGTTTCTAATTTTAATTCTTTCTGTCTATCTTCATATTTTGACGTGAGTGCAAGCAAAATCGCAGGCCGGAGACAAAGACGAGGAGTAATTTTTTAATAGTAGTCATGGGGAATAATGGCCTTCCTAATTCGTGCCAAAATCCCTTCCAAGTTCCCACGGACGCATTTGACCAGGGAACATCCTAGAAACCCTCGTTCTTAAAGGAATCCATTCTTGAAGATAGCTCTTTTTTTTTTTGAGGCCACCATTATTGAAGAAAGCTAAACATGTGCCTTGGCTATTGCACGACCTCACTTGTTTCATACATATTCCCAAAGTTGGCGATAGGGTTTACGAGTCGCAGCCGGCGGATTCTTATACATGTCGAGTAATGCCCTTATAATACTTGTTAAGTCGCATAAAACAAGATTTGGAGATTTAATTTTCGCTCTTTGGAGTTAGGCTTTCTTTTGCCATCAAGTAAATAAGGTGAAAATTGTCCGAAAGTCCTAAACTTATTGTATTTTTGCCAATTCAGTCCTAAACCTTTTCCATTTGTGCCAATTCAGTCCATTCGGCCAATATTGACTGGCTGGTGCTGACGTGGATGCCGGTCGTCCGGCCAACGTTGACGTGGCAATTTTTAATATTTTTTTAGTTTTTATTTTTACATTTTTTTCTTTCTTTTCTTTTTATTTTTTTGCCCTTCTTTCTTGGTTGTCCGCAACTAGCCAGAGGCGAACCTCACTAGCCTTTGGCAAAGCTCGCCCCCGCAGGCCACTGGCGAGGGTGAGCCTCGCTCGCCTTTGGCTGGGCGAGGTCCGCCATGGCGAGACCGACCTTGCCGTCGCTGGGCGAGGGAGAACCCAGTGACGGCGAGGTTGGCCTGCCAGGGGCGGGCGAGGCTCGCCCTCGCTAGTGGCTGCCCCTGGCAGGCAGGGGCGAGCTTTGCCAGAGGCCGACGAGGTCAACCTCGCGTTGGTCGGCATCAGCCGGCGTCCATATCAACGCCAGATGGCCAGCGCCAGCTAGTGTCCACATCAACACCGGCCGGCCAAAATTGGCCAGATGGACTGAATTGACACAAATACAAAATGTTTATGACTGAATTGACAAAATTGAAAGGTTTATGACTGAATTGGCAAAAATGCAATAGGTTTAGGATTTTTTGGACAATTTTCCCGGTAAATAACTTTTTCGAAAATGGGTCTATTTTCAATTTTCAAAATGTTTCGATATACTTGCTGAGGGATCTTAACGAGTGCCTTAAAGGGTATTTGTTGACAAGAGCCTTGTCTAGGTTTTTTGGTTTAAGGTTTATTCGTTGACCCATGTTATGAACTCCTCATTATTCTGGAAGATTGATATGCACCAGAAGATGATAGCTCAGTTGGGCCTCCGACATGTCAATACCTGAGTCACCTAATCCCGATTCTTAATCTTAATTAAGTCCAATTAGCACGCTTCAGGAATAATAGAGGAACACCCGTAGCGATAAACATCTTGTCTTTATTGTAACATGCATTAAATTAATCGACGATTTCATCCGTTTTGTAGCTGTTTATATACTTCGCAATTCTAATGAAAAATCCTTTTTATCTATATTGTGTGGTCCTTTGCATTAAGATATAAAATGTAAAGCACACCGTATTCTAACCCCTGGATTTTGAAACATTTGCACTTTCATCTTATCAGAGCTCTCAAAAGTTTGATTTTTGACGCTCTCCTTTTATCCCATTTATGTTATTTCCATATTTATATGTGACGGGATGATGTTCAAATTCGTACGCCAACCTATATCAGTTTTGCAATGGGGGAAAGAATAAGTAGAACGAGTCTTAAACGATTATTTTTCACGTCACAATGATAATAAGCTTTTAGAGTAATTATTTACATATTCTGAAGATATCTTTGATCTATATATCTTTCTGCGACACGAACGATAAAGGTTGACCCCTTTGTTTGGCTCGAAAGCTACGAACGGTTCGTTATGGATGGTGACGTTCATTAGGGTATTCCTAATACAGTATGGAAGACACATGATATCCTAATTGAATAGTTAGGTTAGCTTTGACGTGGGTGGTTCTTGTTTTCATACACAACTTAATAATTTTCTGTATTGGGAGCCATCGAGATTGAAGCTTTTGGTCCCGTCAAAGGGATGTCTGGCAGATCGCCAACGCCCGATTCAACGTCCTTGAGAATAACAAAGCACCGGTTGTTTATTCTCCAGTTGAACCTCTTCTTGATCTCTGCCTGAGAATCATCAAACAGTGATAGTTTATCTAATTATTGTCCAAGAGAAAGGGATCATCATTGATTCAGGATCAAATCAGTGGAAATTCCATCTGGGGATTCTGGATCTCGAACACGAGGAAGAGAAAATTTGACATCATTCCTTCTGGACTGTTAGAGCTCCTTTTTGGGTTTTTTAGGTTTGGACAAGCGATACATCTGGAGATTTTCCTATTGCTAATGCTGTCTTTTGAGGTTACGGTACGGAGAGTCCTGAAGAAGAGACAAGCCAACTCAACTGCGACGTCCAAATGGAATAACGTATTCAAAACGGTAGGTTAATGAAACAAGCAAGAGAAATTGACCCGCTCCACGCCATTTTCTCTGACTCACGAGCCTTTACTTGCTCTTATTACTCTGAAAAAGTCTAACATTATTAACCACTTCTTCACCAGTTTTTAATGACTTTTTACAATCAGATAAATGAGAAAACCAGAGATAGGGTCCTTCATCGAATTTTTTTTTGTTTCAAAAAACATTTTTCAATACATGTGCTTCGCTAATATGCTGGTTTCAAAGGTTTTAAACAATTGCTTGCAAGCTCCATCATGCTTCGATAAGCATAGAGATACAATATTTCTTGTTTGGGAAAGTAATTATACTAAGGAGAATTCACATGGAATATTTCCAAAGGCCAATAGTGGGCAGGAAGAAATGAAGCTTCTCATTCGACCTTTACCTGTTGAACGTTACTATCTTTGATAAAATTCAAGAAGAAAAAAACAAAAACAAAAACAAAAACAAAAGAGTCTCATTGACAAGCATCCTCCAAATCCCAAGGCCAATGAAAGGAACAAGCCCTCAGATAGCTACATCATACATTGTAATAACTTATATCAAGTTGTTCCACTTGAATGATATAAAATATGAGGTCAAAAAAGCGGGAAAAGAATGCTTCCATGAGCTAACGTTGAACCTCCCAAAAATATATAAAGGCAACACATATAGAGCCATTTCTGTGTGTCCCTCTCCAAAACAAGAGAAAGCATCAGACGTTAATTCATTTCTCTCTCCCTCTCTCTTTGCGACCCCTTCATCTCTTCAGTGACCAAAGAAGAGAAGAGACATAGATTGATGCAATAAGCATTGGGAGTGATCACATTAAAGTGTTAAATGTCCTGTGGAATAGGGTCTCTGCTTGTTCTTGCGGGTCTGTGTTTCTTGATCTTCTGGATTCATCACAACTCTGTGGCCTCACAGACCACAGGCCTCTCAGGGATTGTGGTTGTTGGGAGTGTGTTCATTAATGGGTCAACTTCCATTGCTGGCATTGATGATGACTTCATTTGTGCCACCTTGGATTATGGCCCTCCTGATGTTTGCTACCATGGCACTTGCTGGGGCAATGCCACTCTCTTCACTCTGGTCAGGACTCTCTCTCTCTCTCTCTCTCTCTCTCTCTCTCTCTCTCTCTCTCTCTCTCTCTCTCTGAGAGACTGAGTATGTGTGCATGTGTGTGTAGAAGTTGCCAGCTGTGACCGATACTGGTATTTGCCTGATTTCTTGCTGTCTCTTTTGGTTCCTCACTTTCTTAATCTTTGCTCTATACGTAGGACCTCAGCAATCCAATTTTGTTGAATGCAATCAAAGGTAAGAAGTCATTTCTTTGAATTTCAACAGGCGTCGTGAATGTTGCATGCCATCTCGTTTTTGTCCGATTTCAATTGAAGAGCGGTAATGTTTTGCAGCATTTTCGCCGTTAAAAATCAGAATGGGAGGCACCTTACAAGATAAATTGATATACCATGTACAAGGAGATGAGGGACCCTGCAAACACCAGTCGATCAATAATTCGGACTTTCTCGGTTTCTCTCAAGGATGCCTGCCCATGTCTAGGTGGGACGAGCTTAATGCATTTTTCAAGCGTGCGGGGTAAGAATTATTGTTTCTCTTTCAGAAATTTAAGAATCATGTATAGATAAGATTCATTCACATTGCTGAAGCATATTTTAATGCTTTGTTAACTAATTTAAAGTCTGTCAATTCTGTGAAAGGCAGGGCTATTGTCACTTTTGGTTTGAATGCCTTATATGGAAGGACTGTGCAATCAGATGGATCTGTCCAAGGACCTTGGAATTCAAGCAATGCTGAGATCCTTTTGCGATACACCGTGAATAAAGGCTATAACATCCTTGGATGGGAGCTTGGTACGCATAGTTATGCTTGTTACTGGCTCTCATAACGATAAATTATTGCTAGGAACTGTCAACGGAAGTTCAGGTTAAGAAAAAATATTTTCTTTGGAAGCTTAATCCAGTATTTTGTTCCAACCTTCACAGGGGAATGGCTAATTTTGCTTGCTCATAGGTCTTTTTGGAATTAACAAAAGGATAAGTTAGCATTTTCCAATATGATATATGATAAAACTTAATTAGCTCGTCCTGTTTCCATTAACTCTTGAAAGGCATAAGCAATTGGCCTTGTAGTTGTCTGAGGGATATAAGATCGTTTCTAGTTAAGTACTCTCAAATTTATAGTCCAACCGGGAAGCAAATTCTTGATACTTAAAAGATTCTATAGCATGAAAACCAGAAACTTCTGAATTATGTTTTATCAGATGCTCCAATTCACATATTGTTCATTCTGGACAAAGCTTTCCTGGAATTAGTACTTCACTGTGTGCCATAAGTGTCAAGACACATTAATCTGTCTTTACCATTTAGCTGCTGTGCATCATTTCAAGAGTTAACTTCTCCAATGATGGAGCATATTCATGTCTACTTTTGAAAAATTCTTATGATGTCAAAAATTGGAGAGTCCAACTTACTCCTGCATAAGTTGGATGATGTATCTTTGTATCTGACTGAATATGTTCCTGTCTGTTAGGAAATGAACTTAGTGGGGAAGGAATTGGAGCAAGAGTCTCGGCACAACAATATGCATCCGACATTGAGACCCTCCAGAACCTATTGGATGATATCTATGGAGGTTTTGAAGTTAAGCCGCTAATCTTAGCACCAGGTGGATTCTTTGATGCCAACTGGTTCAAGGATTTTGTGGATCACACAACACAAACGCTCCAAGTGGTCACCCACCACGTTTACAGCCTCGGCGCAGGTACTTCACCATAAGGAAATTGCATGAATTACTTTTTGTTTAATCTTGGACATTCCACGGCACAATTTTGTGTGATTAGCGTGTCTAACACATTCTTCAGTGAACATCAGAAGATATAAGTGAAGGATCTTCATTGTCTGTTCCATGTAGGAGCCGATGATAACCTCATTAGTAGGATTCTGGATCCGTCCTATCTCAATGGCATTGCTCAGACTTTCAGCAGTCTTGAAAGCATCCTCAAGAACTCTGGAACCTCAGCAGTTGCATGGGTTGGAGAAGCAGGTGGGGCTTATAATAGTGGTCATCACCTTGTCACTGATGCATTTGTGTCTAGTTTTTGGTAAGTTTTATCCTACAGATTTTCCTTATCCATTTTCCATAGTACCAAGATTTTTGTGATTCTCATGGGAAAAACTTATCATGGTTTTTATTAGCAGTCAATGAGTTTGTTTACTCCTGATTTTCCCTGAAATCTGAATAGGTATTTGGACCAACTTGCAATGGCAGCGACTTACAATACCAAAACATACTGCAGACAGACATTGATTGGCGGGGGCTATGGTTTACTCAACTCCAGCACATTTCAACCAAACCCAGACTACTACAGGTCCGCAACTAGTTCAACTTAAAGATTAACGGAAAACTCTTTTGTCCTTTTCTTATTTATAAAACAAAAGATGACACTGAAGAAAAATAATGGAGAAAGCAGGAAATAAGGGAGAATTGTGCTGAAAATTGATGTGTTGATAGAGTTCATTACTGTAATTGCAGTGCTCTTCTTTGGCACCGCTTGATGGGAAACAATGTCCTATTCACCAACTTTACCGGCACAAACAAACTCCGTGCTTACTCTCATTGTTCAAAGAATTCAGTGAGTACTGTCTTATCTTAAATTTGCAGCCATCATATCCTGAACTATGGTCTAACACCTTAAAATTCCACGCATGACAGACTGGCGTCACATTGTTGTTGATCAATCTTGACGGAAACACCCCAGCACAAGTGCATGTTTCCACTGAAGACATTGCAGGAAACGGGACATTAATTTTGCAACCACAAATCCGTTCCAGTAAAAATAAATTTTCCAGCATTTCAAAGGGGTCGATATTCGATGAAAACATTAGAGAAGAGTACCACTTGACAGCTAAAGACAGAGACTTGCAAAGCCAAGTCACCCTTCTCAATGGGAAAATTCTTAGGGTTGATTCTTCTGGGAACATTCCTGCCCTAAATCCTATAAAAGTGAGCATGTCAGATCCCATTCTGGTGGCTTCATTCTCTGTTGTATTTGCTCGGTTTCCTAGCATGAATGTCACAGCTTGCAGATAGTTCAAGACACACACACACACACACACACACACACACAAACACAATGGAATTACTTCTCTGAACTGTAGATACTCACAACATCTTCAATTGCTGTAATCTATAGATAAAAATTATTGTGATTTCTGTATAGTGTATCTTTCTCCTTCCTTTGCTATGCAAATTCATGGAAGTTTCTGAGAAGTTCCTAACCAGCTTCTTTTTCTTCGATTCATCCGACCAATCTGCTCTCTGTGCAAAGTGGTGTGCATTTTGGATCCACACACAATCACTCATACACATAAGCAGATCACTATTTGTGACATTCCGAAATTCCACAAATTGGAATTTATTGAATAATTGAGTTTTATGAGATGTGCTCGCAGTAAATTCTCGCCCGGAACTGATCATTCCTGGGAATGCTAACCATTAGGGAAAGGCTAATAGGGGAATTAAATTCGCGCGACTAGAGAAAATTCGATCGTGAATGGATTTCGACCATTAAATCGCGGAAGTGATATTTTGAGCCACTGTTGGCCGATCCAAGGATAGTTAGGGGTTAGTTCGTCATCGTCCTAATAGTGGATCGCGGGTGATTCCGTTGGACCACGAAGCGACTTGACGAATGATTCCGAAATTATACCGAACGATCTTACCCCTCGGATCAAGTGATTGATCTTTGCGATTTTAATGACAACCGAGGTCGTCACGTACCGAACGGACTTGAACGTGACTCGATTTAGTATCAGTCATGAGTTGATTTCACGAATTTCCCCAGCAAGCCGCCCGTTAGCTCGAGAAACGCTCGAGTTGCGTTTAATAGAATTTAATTATTGAAATTTTGCCCAAATTGGACACCGGAAAATTAGGAAGTCACGACGGAACGTTAGGACGACGTTGCACGTGACACGTGTCAATTTTTGGTGCGCTTAAATTCTTCGGAAAAATTCGATTTGGATGAGAAATGGAGAAAGTGACGATTTTGACCTTAAGGATTTATAAAGGATTAGTTTTAAGGACAAGGGGCATATTGGTCATTTTTACCTTAGATATTTCTTGGGTCAAAGACACTATTTAAGTCATATTGACCTCTCTTTCTCCCCCGTAGAAACCCCCCTCCCATTCGGTTCCTTTTCTTTTTTTTTTCCACCGTGAGACCTCTCCCCCTCCACCGATCACTCTCCCTATCCCTCCGCCGTTCACCGCCGCGCCCCAAGCCGCCGTCCGTACGTCCGCCGGACCGCCGCCGCACCCAAGCCACCGTCCTCACCGCCTCATCCCCACCCAACCGTGACACTCTCTCTCTCTTTCCATCTCTGGCCGTGGGCCCTCTTAGCCGCCGTGGACACCGCCGCAAGCCGCCGCTCGCCGATTGTCGCCGATTGTCGCCGCTGCCGCAAGCCTTCGTCGGATTTCAAGTTTTACCGCCGATTTTGTTCTAGCCGAGAGAGTCTAGAACGAAGTAAGTTGTGATCTAAACCCTCGCCTAGTAGATCGGGTTGTTTCGGGTTTAGATAGACACGGGTTGTTGTGATTTTGCGGGCTAAGTTGAATTACGGGTCATAGGGTTGAATTTCGAGGATTTTGGTGGAAAATTTGGGGCCGATCAATGCTGTGAATTGGGGTTTAGTGTGCTGTGGTGTGCTATTGGGTACGAGAATGGTCCCGTTGAGTCCGGCTCGGAGTTTTATGTAAGTATCGTGAAGAGTCGGAAGTGTGATTTTATGGTTTGAGTGCAGAAATTACTGTTCACGAGCTGTGCAGAAATTACTGTTCACGAGCTGTGGGTGTACTGTTCACTGTGCTGTGGTGAGTCGTTTGACGCGTAATTGGTGCCGTTAGGTCCTTCTTGGAATTTTATGAAAATCCCGTGAAGGGCTGAAAATGATTTGAAAGCATTTGAACAAAGAAAAATACTGTTTTACGCGAGAATGTGTTTTTGTGTGAAAATGGTGATGTGGTGAAGTGTGGGGTGCAAGTGTGCACGGAATTTGAGGCAATGGCATGAGAAAGTGAGTTGGGATCGGGCCGAGTATCATAAGCTCGGGCAACGATCATGTAGGTCTGTTGCATTTGGCACGGGCTGAGGCTCGAAAGAGCATGATTGAGTTCGGTCCGAGGCACGATCAGCTCGGGTGAGACCGGGATTGGACCGAGGCATTATAAGCTCGGGTTCCGATCATGTAGGCCTGTCGCATTTGGTGCGGGCTGAGTGTTGGTCGCAGTGTACCTGAGGCGTGTACGTTTACGCGGGTCACTGGCGAGTGATGTGGGAAGTAATGAGTGGTCGCAGTGTACCTGAGGCGTGTACGTTTACGCGGGTCACTGGCGAGTATTATGGGAAAGGAGAATTGAGAATGGAAAGAATGAGAAAGTGGAGGTGGAATGGGCATATGTTGAGTGGATTGAAATCGTGTTATGTTCGTTGGTGAATGATTTGTGGAAAATTTGTATGTTGTGTCTTGTGTTTTCAAAATAAATTTTTATAGTGGACTAATGTGCAGGCTGCATGTGTCGAGAGTCCACGTATGTGTATTCGTGTGTTTTGTGGTGGATTGATTGGTTATGAGCTTATTTATGTCTGGAATAACGTGATAGCCTAGGTAGGGTTTAGGTTACAACTTATTGAGAAGTATCTCATGGTTGTATAAACCAAACCATTTCAGATGCCCCGCCTGAGCGATGAATATTCCGCCGCCGCCACCAGAACGTTTCGGAGCCCTCAGTAGATGGGACGATACAAGGGGATTCCGACTCAGAGGACGAAGAATCGAATTCAGAATGGACGCCTAGTAAGGGGCGTAGGAAGTAATATCCGTTTAGAGGATGGGTTTTTGTGAGTACCATTTTTGGATGGAAAGTTGATCAGGTCATAGACCCTTTTTGTTACTGACCGTAGTAGTGTGGCGGGCACTTGTTTATATGGTGGCGTGTAAGTGTTGGAGTGGCTTTGTAATTGTAAATATTTTGGTATAAGTTTGGAAATGAGATATGGATATGTATATTCTCCCTTAATGCCTCCCCAATTTTTATATTGTCAGGGATTAATTGTAATATCCGCTGTGGTTGTAAATCTCTGATGATTATTTGAGGTCGGCGATATTCCTGGGACGTCGCACTCATCGACCAGGTAAGGGGCGTCACGTGCCCATCGGGGTTCGGGGCGTGACATCCCCGTTTGAATTGGTATCAGAGCACGGTCAGCTCGATCTAAGATTGGTCGAATTGGAGTGATAAGGAACAGAGATTTTGGGGTAGGAATTGAGAGAGACTTTAGTGAGCCATAGATATACCTAGTGCTACACGTATTCCAGACTATCTGTTATGATTGATTGCTTGAATTGAATGTTGTGTTGAGTTGAGTACCTGCTGAGTGGATTACTGCGTTAATTCACTGTTTAGAACTAGATTGATCTAGTTGGTTTAGATCGCTAATTCCTAAGTGGAATTACGGCAGGTAGTAGAGTGATAGAATTGAGACGATGAGCAGTGAAGGAAGAGGCGTAGGAAGAGTCCCAAGAAGGGGCGCAGAAAGAGGAACGAGAGGTCGAGGTCGTGCTCGAGCTAGGACTGTCGAGGACCTCGGAATGGGTGCTAGAGCAGTAGAGAATCCTAGAGTGGATATTGGTGCTGCAGTGGACCCTAGAGTGGAAGTTAGACCCGTTGAGGATCCTCGAATGGAAGTCATTATGAGGACGTTGGAACGAATTGAAAATCTGTTAGAACAGCAGACTCAGGAAAGAGCTGCTCCGATTGCCCAAGTTGCCGAGGCCGCCGAGGCCGCTGTTGTTGCTAATGATGATGAGCATCAAGGGCAGGGACAAGCGGTTGCTAATAGACCTATGCACCAACTGGTAGAGCAGTTTATAAAGCTGAAACCGCCTAAGTTTTCTGGGAAAGGTACCCGGAGGCTGCACCTAGATGGGTAGAGGAACTGGAGAAGGCTTTTGAGGTGCTGGAGTGTAATGATCACGAAAGGGTGACTTTGGCAGTGTATCAGCTACAGGATAATGCGAATGATTGGTGGAAAGCCACCAAGGATAGGATTTTTCCTGAAGGTACTGCCAAAACTTGGGCTGTTTTTACTGAGAAATTTTATGAGAAATATTTTTTCAGCTAGTGCTAGAGAAAGAAAACTCGCGGATTTTATGAGACTCCACCAGGGCCAGATGACGGTAGATCAGTATGAGGCGGAATTCGCGAGATTATCTAAGTTCGCGCCGAGAATGGTGGAACATCCTGAGGATAAGGCGCGAAGATTTCTGGATGGATTGAGGGCTGATATCCGCAGCCAATTGTTATTAGTAAACTTGGGAACGTACGAGCATATATTTGATAGGGCCCAGATTCTTGAGCGGGATCAAATGGATAGAGCCGCTGCATCTGGATCGAGGTTTATCCAGGGTTGGAATAATCGTAATCCTGAGAAGAGGCCGATGGTGGATAATAGGCGTTTCACTCCACTAGCAAAAAGGAATATTGAAAAGCCAATTCGGATTGGGAATGGTCCGTGTAGGATTTGTGGAGGTAGACACGGGAATGGACCTTGTCCAACTAGGGGTGGAGCTTGCTTTGGATGTGGAGGATTTGGGCATCATATAAAAAATTGTCCCAATCCCAGGCAGAATAGGTCGCCTACTTTGCCGCCACCTCGGAATGAGAATCAAGCTGGAGCGGCCTAGACAGCGAATCTGAATCAGAATAGGCCTCCAGTGCAAGGACGAGTGTATGCGATGGCTAGACGAGAGGCTGAGAATGCACCGGGGGTTGTCACAGGTACGATTCTCTGTGCAACCATGCTGTGTATGTTTTATTTGATCTTGGAGCATCGCATTCCTTCGTAGCGAAACAGTTTATTGATTTGATTGAGTTAGAACCGCAATTACTTGATATCGTATTATGTGTGACGACTCACTGGAATGATAGGATGTTGATTTCGTTTGGTTGTCCAAACTATAAGACTGTGATTGGGATTAGGGAGGAATTGATCAATTTAGCGGTTCTAGATATGTACGACTTTGAGGTGATAATAGGAATGGATCGATTGTCTAAGTAGAAGGCTGTAATGGATTGTCATAGCAGAGTGATTCAAATTAATCCTGTTGGATATTCGGAAATTTTAATGGGTAGGAAGTCGAGGAGGACCCTCGATTCCGTTGTTATCCTCGGTGAAAATGACAAAATTGTTATATGAGGGATGTTAAGGATTTCTAGCTGTAATAGTGGATTCAAAGGCTGAAGAACCAAGACTTGAGGATATAGCGGTAGTGTGTGAATATCCCGATGTGTTTCCTCAAGAATTGCCGAGGATTGATGATTTGTTTGACCAGTTACAAGGAGCTTCAGTGTCCTCTAAGATTGATCTGAGAATGGGGTATCATCAGTTGAAAATTAGAAAGGAGGATATACCGAAGACGGCATTCAGAACGAGGTACGGACACTATTAATTTACGGTGGTGCGTCGTTGAAAGAATTAGAGTGTGTATTGATGCAACATGGGCGGGTGGTAGCCTATGCATTCAGACAGTTGAGACCACAAGAATTAAATTATCCGACGCACGACTTGGAGATAGCCGCAATAGTGTTCGCCATGAAGATTTAGCGACATTATTTATGCGGGGAGATTTCTAATTTATACTGACCATCAGAGCTTTAAGTATTTATTCTCACAGAAAGAGTCGAATGTGAGATAGTGACGTGGGATGGAAATGGTAAAAGACTGAGATGGTAATATTTTATATCACCTCGGAAAGGTAAACCGAGTTGCGGATGCGTTGAGCTGGAAATCAAGCATCGCGCATTTGATGGTCAAGGAGTGGATTTTGTTGGAGAAAGTACGAGACTCAGAATCCAAATTTGAAGTTATGGACCCAGAGATACAGAAGGTTGTTGGGATGGACGCTACTAAGAAAAAGCCGCGGTAGTCTAGAACGCGGGTAAGACGCGCTCTAAACCCGATTTAGGACTTCGGGTATTGACGGGTAATTTTCGGACAAAATCAGTATGGAATTAGGTGCGGAATTACGTGAATGGGGAGTGAAAATTTTATGGCGGGTCTTGGGATTTAATTCGGGCATTATTTATTGGAAATTCAGAAAATAGGGGCTGCGAATTACTGTTCATATTCTGCGAATCACTATTCACAAGCTATGAATTACTGTTCATGGGGCTGTGATGACTAGTTCGGGACGCAAGTTGGATTTTTAGAACCGATATTTAATGGTGAGAAAGTTCCGTGAAGGACCGGAATCGATTTGACGTCGTTTGGTTAGAGAAAAATAGCCATTTTGTGTTTATTGTGTGTTTGGAAAAAAAAAAATTGAGGACCGGAATGAACGAGTCCTGAAGAACAAGACAATCCCGACGGTCAAGGCTATCTGGGAGCACCACGGGACTGAAGGTGTGACCTGGGAAGGAGAGGAAGAAATGCAACGTTATTACCCCCAACTGTTTGGTAGTTAATTGGATTGAAAATTTCGAGGACGAAATTTTATAAGAGGGGAAGATTGTGACATTCCGAAATTCCACCAATTGGAATTTATTGAATAATTGAGTTTTATGAGATGTGCTCGCAGTAAATTCTCGCCCGGAACTGATCATTCCTGGGAATGCTAACCATTAGGGAAAGGCTAATAGGGGAATTAAATTCGTGCGACCAGAGAAAATTCGATCGTGAATGGATTTCGACCATTAAATCGCGGAAGTGATATTTTGAGCCACTGTTGGCCGATCCAAGGATAGTTAGGGGTTAGTTCGTCATCGTCCTAATAGTGGATCGCGGGTGATTCCGTTGGACCACGAAGCGACTTGACGAATGATTCCGAAACTATACCGAACGATCGTACCCCTCGGATCAAGTTTAATAGAATTTAATTATTGAAATTTTGCCCAAATTGGACACCGGAAAATTAGGAAGTCACGACGGAACGTTAGGACGACGTTGCACGTGACACGTGTCATTTTTTGGTGCGCTTAAATTCTTCGGAAAAATTCGATTTGGATGAGAAATGGAGAAAGTGACGATTTTGACCTTAAGGATTTATAAAGGATTAGTTTTAAGGACAAGGGGCATATTGGTCATTTTTGCCTTAGATATTTCTTGGGTCAAAGACACTATTTAAGTCATATTGACCTCTCTTTCTCCCCCGTAGAAACCCCCCTCCCATTCGGTTCCTTTTCTTTTTTTTTTTTCCACCGTGAGACCTCTCCCCCTCCACCGATCACTCTCCCTATCCCTCCGCCGTTCACCGCCGCGCCCCAAGCCGCCGTCCGTACGTCCGCCGGACCGCCGCCGCACCCAAGCCGCCGTCCTCACCGCCTCATCCCCACCCAACCGTGACACTCTCTCTCTCTTTCCATCTCTGGCCGTGGGCCCTCTTAGCCGCCGTGGACACCGCCGCAAGCCGCCGCTCGCCGATCGTCGCCGATTGTCGCCGCCGCAGCAAGCCTTCGTCGGATTTCAAGTTTTACCGCCGCTTTTGTTCTAGCCGAGAGAGTCTAGAATGAAGTAAGTTGTGATCTAAACCCTCGCCTAGTAGATCGGGTTGTTTCGGGTTTAGATAGACACGGGTTGTTGTGATTTTGCGGGCTAAGTTGAATTACGGGTCATAGGGTTGAATTTCGAGGATTTTGGTGGAAAATTTGGGGCCGATCAATGCTGTGAATTGGGGTTTAGTGTGCTGTGGTGTGCTATTGGGTACGAGAATGGTCCCGTTGAGTCCGGCTCGGAGTTTTATGTAAGTATCGTGAAGAGTCGGAAGTGTGATTTTATGGTTTGAGTGCAGAAATTACTGTTCACGAGCTGTGCAGAAATTACTGTTCACGAGCTGTGGGTGTACTGTTCACTGTGCTGTGGTGAGTCGTTTGACGCGTAATTGGTGCCGTTAGGTCCTTCTTGGAATTTTATGAAAATCCCGTGAAGGGCTGAAAATGATTTGAAAGCATTTGAACAAAGAAAAATACTGTTTTACGCGAGAATGTGTTTTTGTGTGAAAATGGTGATGTGGTGAAGTGTGGGGTGCAAGTGTGCACGGAATTTGAGGCAATGGCATGAGAAAGTGAGTTGGGATCTGGCCGAGTATCATAAGCTCGGGCAACGATCATGTAGGTCTGTTGCATTTGGCACGGGCTGAGGCTCGAAAGAGCATGATTGAGTTCGGTCCGAGGCACGATCAGCTCGGGTGAGACCGGGATTGGACCGAGGCATTATAAGCTCGGGTTCCGATCATGTAGGCCTGTCGCATTTGGTGCGGGCTGAGTGTTGGTCGCAGTGTACCTGAGGCGTGTACGTTTACGCGGGTCACTGGCGAGTGATGTGGGAAGTAATGAGTGGTCGCAGTGTATCTGAGGCGTGTACGTTTACGCGGGTCACTGGCGAGTATTATGGGAAAGGAGAATTGAGAATGGAAAGAATGAGAAAGTGGAGGTGGAATGGGCGTATGTTGAGTGGATTGAAATCGTGTTATGTTCGTTGGTGAATGATTTGTGGAAAATTTGTATGTTATGTCTTGTGTTTTCAAAATAAATTTTTATAGTGGACTAATGTGCAGGCTGCATGTGTCGAGAGTCCACGTATGTGTATTCGTGTGTTTTGTGGTGGATTGATTGGTTATGAGCTTATTTATGTCTGGAATAACGTGATAGCCTAGGTAGGGTTTAGGTTACAACTTATTGAGAAGTGTCTCATGGTTGTATAAACCAAACCATTTCAGATGCCCCGCCTGAGCGATGAATATTCCGCCGCCGCCACCAGAACGTTTCGGAGCCCTCAGTAGATGGGACGATACAAGGGGATTCCGACTCAGAGGACGAAGAATCGGATTCAGAATGGACGCCTAGTAAGGGGCGTAGGAAGTAATATCCGTTTAGAGGATGGGTTTTTGTGAGTACCATTTTTGGATGGAAAGTTGATCAGGTCATAGACCCTTTTTGTTACTGACCGTAGTAGTGTGGCGGGCACTTGTTTATATGGTGGCGTGTAAGTGTTGGAGTGGCTTTGTAATTGTAAATATTTTGGTATAAGTTTGGAAATGAGATATGGATATGTATATTCTCCCTTAATGCCTCCCCAATTTTTATATTGTCAGGGATTAATTGTAATATCCGCTGTGGTTGTAAATCTCTGATGATTATTTGAGGTCGGCGACATTCCTGGGACGTCGCACTCATCGACCAGGTAAGGGGCGTCACGTGCCCATTGGGGTTCGGGGCGTGACACTATCTGCATCATAATCACTTCCCGAATCTGTAAATTTGTCAAACTAATATTCTGACTACTCTTTCTGGCGTCCCTAAGCCCTCCATACCCACCACAAGATCCAAAAATAAGAAAGAGACTGCCAATGCTAAACTTGCTTTCTCCAATGAGATGTTCATACCATCCGGCGCTAGTCTAGAGCCCAAATTCAACCGTTCCACTTCTATGATTTACATCCAATGTTCAATCTTCACCGAATTCCTCGGAAACAGGTGCACTGATCATATTGCTGTCATTTCATTGGGTTAGCATGTCATCTCATACAATTAGTAGTATCAACTCGTAAAGACCGGCTGCACTCCCAATTGGTGACTTAAATGTGTCCCATGTTGGCATTGCAAGTCAAACTGCATATAGCTTGTTCTGGCAGTGTCGTGTGCAATAAATTATACGGCATATTTAGCTCTGAGAACTTGCTACCCATTTTCCAAATCTTACCGGCCACTGGAAATATTAAATCGTTTGCTATTTTAACGAACATGCACATCCGGTGTGCTAGCAATGTTTCCATCCCGACAAACAGATCGATTTCCCCAAGAAAAGTCGCCATGAGATGAACATGAATACAACCACATGAATCCAACCTTCCCCAGTTAGTAAAGTTGGCTGGCTGACTGACTTTTAAGTACCTAATCAGATTGGCGTGTCGTGTCTAGGAAGAAGCTAAGGATGATTTCTCTCTCTCTCTCAATGTATATTGCAAATTGGCAAACGTGATGTAATGATTTCTATTGTCTACCTGCGCAATTAACAATTGCCATTTGAATGCACTATCCCTCCCAAAGACATCTTTCGTCGATGTTTATTAATATTAAATGCGGTGTACATGTGTTGTTTTATGCTTAACACCAAAGCCGCCTGGGATCTAGAGGTATTCACACTTTGAACCTGATGAACACAAATTGTAATTCCAAGTTGCAACCTTCCTGTGTTAGTATGGGGCCCCAGTTTCCTATTTAAAAAAGAATTATGAAAAAAGTTACAGCTTAAGGCTTATGAATAAAAGGAAAAAAAAAGTCCTAAATCTATTGCTTTGGTATCAATTTAATTCTAACCTTTTAATTAAACCAATTTAGTTCTAAACAATTTCACGTTGGTACCAATTCAGTCAAACCGGCCAATTTAGGCAGGAATTTGATGACCAAGATGCTAGCCGTCCTACGTGGCATAGCCAGCATTGATGTTGACATTTTTATATATTTTTAAATAATTTTTTCGAATTTTTTTCTTTTATTTCCTTTTTTCCCCTTTTCCTCTTGCAGGTGGCCGGCCATTAGCCACAGACCATGGCTGGCAAGGGCTGGCCTCAACTGGGCGAGGGTTGCCCTTGCTAAGCCGCGCCTAGGTGAGGGCAAGGCCTAGTGAAACTCGATGACTTCGAGGGGTGAAAGAGGTAGGAGGCAAATCGAAGAGAGAGAGAGAGAGAGAGAGAGAGAGAGAGAGAGAGAGAGAGAGAGAGAGAGAGAGAGAGAGAGAGAGAGAGAGAGAGAGAGAGAGAGAGAGAGAGTCAAATACTGGATCGGACAAGCTGAAGTCGAATAGAGAGAAGTCGTTTGCATATAGACTTATCTCCGATTCGATGAGGAGATTTAGTGGTGGTAGGCGGTGGATTGTGGAGAGGTGAGCGACGGACCTTAGCGAGGTCTAGATGAGGGTCCCCTCGCCGCCATCACCAGGGGCCTCACCGGCCTTTGGTGTGGGCCGGTGAGGCCGCCGCTCATCAAATTCAACGAGGGGACCCTCGCCTAACCCTTGCCTTGCCGGCCTCGCCTGTGGCATTCAAGGGTGTCTTAGCCCTCTCCCTCGCCGGTGGCCAACGACTGGGCGAGGGTAATAAGGAAAAAGAAAAAAGATAAAGGAAAGAAAAAAATAAAAAAATTCGAAAAAAGTATTTAAAAATCATAAAAAAAATGTTCACGTTAGTGCCGGCCGATATGCCACACAGGACGACCTGCGTCCACGTCAACAATTTCCGACCTAAATTGGCTGGATGGATTAAATTGATGCCAATATGAAAAAGTTTATAAGACTAAATTAGTTCAATTAAAAGATTTAGGATTGAATTGATATCAATGTAATAAGTTTATAATTTTTTTGGTACTTTTCCCAAGACTTATGTCCTTCAATCATGCTGGGTTGTCCATTTGCCTTGAGCACACTTTGCTCGTTCTTTTTCCTCTCTTTCAGATTGAGACCACCTTGCGTTGGACAGTTTGCTTCAAAGAGCATACCGACAAATTGTTCGCCCTAGTGATTTTGATTGTGATATGTTCTGTCCAAATTTTCCAAATTGGAAAAGGAAGGCCTATGAGCAAGATAAACACGATCCACGAATATTGAAAGGGTCTTTCAAAGCTTGCTTTGGGTGTGTTACGATAAACCTTTCCAGGTTGGATGTTCTGAAAGGTGTGCTTTCTGCTTGAGATCAGTAACTTTGGCATATTTTGGAGCACTAGTTTGACCTTTCCTTGGATTTCCGATTAATAAATTGATTAAACAAAACGCGTATAGGGCACTGTTATATGTACATCCATTCAGGGGAACATGTAACTGGGGATACATGCACTTAAAACAAAAAAGACTAAAGAACGTGTGGGGTTTTTTTTTTGGTAAGGGAAGAACGTGTGGGGTTTTTAATATGCCTTGCATTCTAAAAATTTCATTCCCTGACTTTTCTATTTCACAGGCTCCCCCACATATCCCACCTTAAGTCAATGGGTCCCTCTTCAATGTTTTTGTCAAAATGTCTTTCCTACTAGTGATCTCACTTTCAATGCCAAGACACTTGGCTACTCGAATCTGCATTATTTATAAAAAGTTCAAGGAATCAAATGCTCTGGGTTCCTTGTTCCACACATGGAGCTTTCGTTTCTTTGGTCTAAACCGCATCTGTTTTCTCAACACCAATCATGTGCACCAGCACTCCACCACTAGTTCATCATCATCAAAATAATTCAGCAATATATTTAAATATTTCTTAACCAATCACAAGGCAGTTGTACTAGCTTCATAAAAAATTGAGGTTCGTGGGAGGAAAGTGACCAATTCAGTTGACCTGCAAGTAGAGGAAATATAATATATCAAGAAAACTACTATATCTCTGCGGACCCTCCATAGAACACAGCTTTCAAGTTTCAACTTTCTTCTTCTCTCCTTTGACATCTTGCTTCTCACAAAAGCTTCTTCAGCTACCAAGCGGAGATAGTTATAAAACCATTCATGCTTGCTCAATCAATGAATTCGTATGGAGGCTAAGACTGTACAAGCCATTGTGTAGATGTACTGTGGGATGGCCTCTCTGCTTGTTCTGGTGGGGTTGGGCGTTCTGGTGTTCTGGGTACATCACAACTCCAGCTCAGCGCTCTCGCAGAGTACCGAAACTTCCGGGGATGTTCTTTCTGGTACTGTGTTCATCAATGGAACAGCATCCATTGCTAAGACGGATGACGATTACATCTGTGCCACTTTGGATTGGTGGCCTCCTGAAAAATGTGATTATGGCACTTGCAGCTGGGGAAGAGCCACCCTCCTCACTTTGGTATGCTCTGTCTTTCTCACTCTCCCTCTCTTCTCTCTCCTCTGGGTGTGTGTGTGGTACGTGGAATTGGGAGATTCTGGATGATCTTCAAATCATGCACAGATACTTGAGTCTAGCGCTGGACAATTTCTGCACCCACACACAAAGCCACCAAAAGATAAAAGTAATCAAAGGGAGCTTAATTTGAGTTTTTGACAAGCATCGCATAAGCATTAGCATTTTCCTTGTTAATCATAAGTTTGTTTTTGCAAATCTTGGCTTCTCAAAATTGATTTTCTCTCACCAGGATCTGACAGACCCAATTCTGATCAATGCTGTAAAAGGTATGTGATGCTGATCCTCATTGAACAACTTTCAACTTGTCACATCATCTCAGTACATGAAGATTGAAGTTAGTTTCCACGTTGTATTGCAGCTTTTTCACCACTACGGATTAGAATGGGAGGGACCTTACAAGATAAAGTAGTATATGAAATACAGGGTGATCAGACACCCTGCAACATCTTCACCAAGAACAGCTCGGAATTCCTTGGTTTCTCGCAAGGATGCTTACCTTTGGCTCGATGGGACGAGCTGAACTCCTTTTGCAAGCAGACAGGGTAGGCCTAAAGCAAAGATTTTTCTCCCAATTTGTCCCACAAATGGCATTTGAAACCCCTCGTGTCCTAACGTCTAAGTGCACCGATGGTGCCGCATATATATCAATTACAGGGCAGCTGTCACATTTGGGCTGAATGCGTTGTACGGCAGGACAATCGGTTCAGATGGTTCTGTTAACGGGCCCTGGAATTCCAGCAATGCTGAATCACTCATTCGGTACACTGTCAATAAAGGCTACTCTATCCTCGGTTTGGAGCTTGGTAAGCATAGATGTTCTTGTCTCGGCATGGACCAGGAAAGGTGACAAAAATACGGTTTCCACCAGTTTAAATATTACCATAGAGCCATCGATTGAATTTACTCTGCATAAGGATATGACAGAGATACGCCAGACTTTTTACTCTCGCTGTTTTCCCGAAGTGTTTTTTCATCTGTAAATATTGTGTCTCTGAAATTTGTGCTTTTTTTGCTGTTTAGGCAACGAACTAAGTGGAAATGGAGTTGGAGCAAGAGTTTCAGCCGACCAGTATGCATCAGATATAAAAACCCTTCAAGGCCTAGTGGAAGATATATATGCAGGTTTTGAAGTTAAGCCACTAGTCCTAGCACCAGGGGGGTTCTTTGATGCAAATTGGTTCGCCGATTTTGTAAATCAAACAAGTCAAACTCTTCAAGTTGTCACCCACCACATTTATAACCTTGGTCCAGGTAATACCACTTCAGAATCAAACCTTTGTCGAACTATACTATTTTGAGACACTGTGCTTCATCTTCATCAAGTTCAACTGATTTATGTAGGAGTCGATGACCACCTTATTCAGAAGATCCTTGATCCTTCTTATCTTGACGGTGAGTTGCAAACATTCAGCAGCCTTCAGACTCTTCTGAAGAATTCTGGAACTTCGGCAGTTGCATGGGTTGGTGAAGCTGGGGGCGCTTATAATAGCGGCCGCAACCTTGTCACTAATTCCTTTGTGTTTAGTTTCTGGTAAACTAAGATTCTTATACATCGACTACTTATGTTGATGATTCTGATGAGGAGATCACGAGTTAAGAAATTTTTTGCCGTCTTGTGTTGTATAGGTACTTGGACCAACTGGGAATGGCGGCCACTTACAATACAAAAACATATTGCAGACAGACATTGATTGGCGGAAACTATGGCTTGCTAGACACTCAAACATTCCTACCAAACCCAGATTACTACAGGTAGGTTAGTCATGTGATTTTAGCTAAAAACCATAATCCAACTCAACTAACTCCTACATGAATGAAAGGAAAGGGATGAAAGACACTTTCCTGATAGCCTTATTTCTCTTTATGATATCTTTCACATGAAAAAAATTAAAACTCTAATTCTACAAAGTGCATAACTGTTAGTCAAGTGGTAATGGAATAGCTTTGCCAGAGGAGACTGTAAACTAAGAAATAACCAGCTTTGGTCAGTGTAAAGGCCGGTCCTAATCCAAAGTTGAAAAGAGAAATAGAAACAAGTGGAAGAATCAGATTCGTCTAATTGACAATATTATCGTGCTAAATGAACAAACAAATTGAATGAATTAATAAAAAGTTCAAGCTGATGCCAATACTTCACTCGTGCTCTGCAGTGCTCTTCTTTGGCATAAGTTGATGGGGAGCGAAGTTTTATTAACTAGCTTCTCGGGCACGGATAAGATCCGCGCTTATGCTCATTGCTCAAGGAACTCTGTAAGCGTCTTCTACTCTTGAAACCAGAGGATAAACCATGTAGTTGGCTAATATTGCTGTTTGTTGATGTCAACAGCCTGGTGTCACTTTGCTGCTGATCAACCTTGATAGTAACACAACCGTCCAAGTTCACGTTTCAACTGGAAATGTAACCAGTAATGGAACACTGTCTCTGAAACAAGAGAGCCAGAATCACAGGACAAAATTTGCCAGAATGTCGAGAGGGTCATCTAAAGATGGGCACATCAGAGAAGAGTATCACTTGACCGCCCAAGAAGGAAATATACAGAGCCAAGTCCTGCTTCTCAATGGACAAGTTCTAAACACAGACTCATCTGGCATCATTCCTTCCTTTGATCCGATAAATGTAAGCCACTCAGATCCAATTACGGTGGCTCCATTCTCCGTTGTATTTGCTCGGATTCCTGGTATGAATGTCACCGCATGCACATAGTCCAAGACCATAGGCACAGTGAACTTGCTATTTGCAATCGTAACTATAAAGTGACCACTGTAGATAATCATTTCTTGGAAAGATTGTGACAAGCACATGTAAAATGAATTCATTTGCAAGTGAAGGCCAGTCAATTAATAAAATTCAGGGTGTTTATGACAAGCCGGACTGGTTCTATTTTTCCCTTTCAGTAATGCTTTGGATCACTCAGATAAATAAAGTGCCTTTCCTGACACACCGATCAGACATTAGTAGCAAACTTCTTCGAAGTGACTCAACTAATGTATATATCCCCTGTTTCGTGGCTAATGGTACAACATAGCAGAGGTACAAATCTACATGAAGAAGGTACACCTCCGGTGACTCACAAAGTATGCCTCAAGCATCAAGCTAAACAATTTCATCCTTAAATTAACCTGCATAAATCAAAACATCCACTAAGTGGTTCAAGAGAAAATGCTTCCATAAATGCTTTTTAGATCCTCCCCCTAAGTAAAAGTTCTTCACAAGTAAATGTTTAAGCTGCGTGATTCCACCCGACGATTCAAATGCCATTCAAAGACAATGAGAGGTCCCTAGTAATCAGACTGATGCATTTAGTTGCTCCTTGCCGCTCCAGGCAACAAGTTTGACAGAGATGGAACTCCTTGATTCCTCATCTCTTCTTGAGCTCGCCTCATTTCTTCGGGATCTATTACCATAAACAAGCAAATTGATCAAAGGACAAACAAGATGAAAAGTGTTTGAAAGCCAACTCAACTGGAAATCAATTAAAAAGGCTGAAATATAACATCATATCACTAGGTTGACAGCAAATTCCATGATGCACACCAGCAAAATACTTGCATATTCTCAAGATCATTATGCTGGGATTATGATATTAAGAATGAGTACTTACCCATGTTCTCAACTAATTTTGGCATTAGGAAAACAACAATCAGCATAAAACCAACCATCAGACCCATCGGGCTCTTCACCAGGGACATTATGGAGAAGGGTTCTCTAATCTGTTGAAATCAAGATTTGAAGGAAAGAAGTTAACAAAACATGTAAGTAGAACCATCAATAAGCCCAGGTTCCAGTCAAATCAACCTCATAGTACTGTTCCTCTCGCAATGGCTCTAAAACCAACTCATTCAAGATCCTCCTACTCTCTGTCAGGGCAGCCTGCACCTTGCCAGGATTCCTAGCACTGACATCAACTCGTACCTGAGCATTTATAAAGCAATAAATTCGTTTGAGTCAGACAGTGATTGAAACTGGTGGATAACTAGCAAATCAAGATCATACCCACCGGCGAAAAGAAATATCCAAGGGCGGACACCTCAATTAGATGCGTCCCAGCCGAGATATTATGGCTTTATCGAACTATGAATGAAGGAACTTTCTCATACCAAATATTATCATTTACAACCAAATTGCCATCTTTGCCGTATCAGCTCGTGACATTCTAAGTACAGATTAAAAAAGTTAATAGAGCAAGTCATTTTAAAAATTAGAGAAAGGAAGCCCTGCATTAACTTTGTTTTTAAAAAGTCAAAAGAAGTTACATGAACAAAGTAGGATAGGCAGAAGGGTTATAAGAAGCATTGGGAACAAAACAACTACAGTTGAAGAAGAGGATACAATGAAAAGTATCCATCCGGTCTAAGGAAAGTAATTCTCTTGCCACCATTGAGTATAACTTTAGCATCCGATATCTTTCCCGGAAGACCAAACATTATTGCACCAGCTCCTGCCAAAGCATTTGTAATTTGGGTGAACAAGAGAAGAAGGATGGTTGCATTGAAAGGAAGATTGAATAGATAATTACCGAAACTGAGAACTAAAACTGGAAGGATAAAAATTTTCCAGTGAAAACTATTTGCCTCCGTTTGAGTAACCGAGCAGGCTAGACTTCTGAGCATTGTTACCTTTCTTTAATTTCTCTTCTAGTTCTATCAAATACGATAAAAAGTTATTTGCAGCAAGGTTGGACATTTCCCTCTCTTCTATGATGGTAAATTGTGTAAATTCACCATCACATGATTCCATAAAGACCGGTCTAACGGACGATCTTATAATTGATTGGAAGCAATATCTATTATTTCTCAGTCAAATACTAACAAGACCGTATTAATCTACGTATATAGAAGATGTCATGAAACACAATTGCCTGAAAGCAAGCATCCGGTAGTTGCTCTAGACATAATACTATGGGGAAAACACGATCATGCCCAAACAATTTCTTTGAACTCAGTAATACCTGCCTCATCCTAACCCCAAGAGCTTATAAACACCTAAAAAGAAGCTCAAGCCCCAACTCGGTAAATCCCCAATGCTACCTCGAGCAGTAGCTCATACTCTCGCCAGTCTTCACTATCACATCGTCCGTCTTGAACCACTGATAGATACGCGTGGCTGAAAAATAAAGTTCTAATATGCACTTTAACTTAAATGGTTCCAGAGGCAAGAATCAAGCGTTCAGTAAATTCTACCCAATGCAGTACTCACAAGCTACAATCAGAATCACACCTCAACAAAAACGAAAACTTCCGCGCACAGAGCAACAGATTAGCAAACGAAAATCAACATAAGGACAACCCGAGGGCGATTCAACATCGTACCGGGGATCCTAGCGCGGCCATTGATCGTGAAACCATCAGCAGACCTGCAGAAAACGAGGACGGACCCAACCACATCAAAAACAGCTAATCAAGCGAGAAGCAATAGCATAAAACTTGGGCAAGAAGCATAATTCTTCGGTCCGCTTAAAAATAAGATGAAACCCAATTGAAAATCTTCCCTTCCCATTGAGTTCACGCCTTCGATCGGAAAAGGAAGCAACCAAAAGGAGATCCACAAAAGAGAATAAAAAAACAGAACTTTAAGCTTCGGAGGGCAATTGGATGAGAAAAACAACATACCCAGATGGAACAGCAGCGCTGACGGAGAGAACGAGGAAGAAGAACGGAGCTGAGAGCGCGAGGAGGAGCGCCCGAGATCTCGCCATCGAAGCCATAGATGGAGAGAGAGACGCACACCCAGTTGTTCGAGTTCGAGAGAGAGAAGAGGAGGAAGTCGATGATGTCGGGCCCAACATGGGCCCGAAAACTGACATGAAATTGGACCTTGTACGCATGATTTGGGCTTCCGATAACCATAGATAGACGAGATTTGCCAAGGTTCATGTTTTTTTTCGCAAAGAATTTTTAGGCTCCATTTATTTCGTGGCAAACGAACGATCTGGAAAATATATTCTTAAAAATCATCGTTCATATCGCTTGCAAATATGAATAAGAAAAAAAAATATTTTCATCATTCACGAAAATATTTAGACATATATTGTTATCGATAATGAAAATATTTTAAATTGATTAATTATTTCGAGCGATACAGATCATTAATTTTAAGAAAATATTTTTTAAATTTTTTATTTTTCGCGAAACAAACAGAGCCTTGCTAGATTAACACCCGTGTTTAGTTTGTCTACCTTACTTTGTGGTCATGCTCGATGGGATGATGCTATGCAATGTGCTTTTTTGGGTACTTGGTGTTTCTTATGAAGATGGTTTCTTTTCATTTTTTGTTTCCTGGGGAAAAACCATTCTGTTATAGGAAAAAAGAATTTCCAGTTGAAGCTTCAAAAATGAATTCAAGTATTTAATAGCATCGGTTTTACACGAAGGCCGATGACGATAAAAAAAATAACCTTATTGACGTGATTTTTTTATTTAAAAAAAATCATAAAATGAGAATGGATGGAACACTCGAGATACATTAGCTATTACTCTGTCGATTTCACCTCTCTTAAACTCAAACCGACTCGAGCATCGAAGGGTCCTCCAAAGTCCAACCCTCGGGGACTCTCCTGTTTGAGGGGTGTAGAGAATGCATAGCCAAGAGCTAGGTGATCGAAGAATTAGCGCGTCTATAGCCTCTTTGATAGAATTCAAATAGCTGAAATTACAAGTGTCTAATGATCTTAAACACTAAAAATGCAAATGAAAGATTGTCTGATAATAGCTGCAAATATAACAGGACATGTTATTTGCTCTTTTCCAATAAAAACCCTTTTGTTTCGTTGATTTCGTGTTCCCATCCGGTGCCTCGGTCATCCTCAACTATCGATCCGTCGAGTAATTAGATTTTTAATCGATTTTTTTCACGAGAATCGACGGTTTAGATGATCGAGAAATCAATTGAAAGGACTGATGGAGCAGAGGATCTCCATCCAGCTTTTTACTGATTAGTTATGGAATTGCGAATGACATTGGTAGGTGTTAACAATAGAGTTTTTTTTCTTTAGCTTACTTAATTGCTACTGATTAGAAACAAGAATATACAGGTGTACATGAAGGATGAAAATACACTAAAACACATATAGTCTTGCTTTGAGCAAATAATTTCGTCCTATTGAATATTTCATTACAGAATGCACAGAAATTTCGAATGATATACTTATTGAGAAGCCATTGACTTCTTCTACCGTGTCTCAATGGTCCGTTTGAAGCATTATATAATTTCTCATGCATGTTAGATCACATGATAATAAACATTGAACATTGGTTCAATTGTACATCTAGGAATTTTGGGGCGGTTGTACACCCTATGGCTGTCAGAACCGAATTGGAAAACCAAATTTGAACCGAACCGAAATTTCGTGCATTTTCGGTTGAGTTTGGATTTCGGTTCAGATAATTAAAAATAACTATTTTTATATTCTGATTCGGATAGTTTCGGTTAACCAACTGAACTGAACTGAAAATCGCCACTCTTCTTAATATTATAATTTACACAATATCTCTCCCTTTTCACCAAACATTTGTTTTAATATTACAATAAAAAGAAAACCGAAAACCAAACCAAACTAGACCGAACCGGTTTTCGGTGCATTTTTGGTTCTGTTCGTATTTAGTTTGGATAACAGGTTGGTTCGGTTCAATTGCTCACCCTAATAGTTCAATTCGGGTGTCCTGGAAAATCGAACCGTTGACACCCGAAGAAGAGGGTTGCACAATTTCGCATTCAGAGCCCATGCAATTTGGAGATATTTCAGGGGTTTGTGTTTTGATGTTCTTGTTTTTGTGAGTAAAGACAAAGTTTGACAGGTCTATTAAAGTTAACAATGTTCATTTGAGATATCCAACAAATTAACTATGTTCATTTTTTGCATAAAAGTGATTAAGGATCAAAGATGAGATCGACACCCTACACCTGTAGTAATTAACATGGCCACGACTTCTAGCAAAAAGAACATGGCCACGACCATTTTTAGCATTTTTTTTTTTGGTCCATGACCTTCCGGTATCTGGGGTTATCCCCGACTAAATCCGGAATCGAGCACTGTCGGACCCACAAGGGGATGGCTCTCCCAATATCGTTCGCTCCATACACAAAGCTCGAACTCGAGATCTTGGTTGAGGGAACCCAGGCTCTTTACCACTTGGTGCCATATGTAGCAATTAACTCACCGTTAGATGTGTTTTCGTTTAACTGGGATTTTTACGATTCTTTTGTTTATCCCCTTCTCGTAAAAACTTTGTTCAATTTCGTCCCCCTCCCCTCGATCCGAATGGGGAATTTCAATGGCAACCCGTCTGTTGACGAAATTGCCCCTCGAGCTGTCCCGAAGGCAAAGAACCACCACCTCCGTCGACTTCGATGTCATGAAGAGGTTAAAAATGGTAAATCGGCCCTCTCTGAATTTGGGGGATCTTTGACCTCTCTGAATTTCGTTTTCGGGTAAAATTACAGAAACAACCCCACGAATGGTTCGACAATCCTATTAAGAAGAAAAATTGAAAAATTCACCCCCTCGTAACTTGAAAATTCTTTAGGCCTCTTTTGCAAACTTAATCACTTTAAACCAAAAGTTCGATCTAGGTTCTCATAAAAACGATCAAGCTCGACGCCGGACAATCGATGCAAGTGGACGAGTATGTTGTACTAAAAATTTCAACCGAGATTACCGTCTTAAATTCTTTCTTCCCGATTTTACATTTTCTCATTGACAGATTGTCTCGTATAAGTCAAATTTATCGCATATAGTATTCGAGAAGAAGTTCTTTCTTTCCCCTTCTTCCCCCAAAGTTGTCCAAACGATCTGGTCCTCAAGTTTCCGTGGGGGATGGTTGAGAAGATGAGCAGATAGTTTCTTGAATTCTCCGTGTCTGATAAGTCGTATCAATGTTGTTCATCCCCAAAAAAAACAAAAATGCAAATAACAATAAAAGAAAAAAGTGTAAGAACAATCAGCGATAGCTTTGTTATGTCGTCCCTCCTAGTTCCCGAAACGATCTTTTTTCGTGTTACAATTGACTGTTCTCTTTTTAATTGCATGTGCATTTCGGTTATCTTCTGCATGAAAAAAGTGTTGTCCTCAAATTGAATGGATGGATGACAGAGAGGAGGACCTAAAGTGTAAAGCCTTATATTTCGCAATCGATTTTCAACTATTTGACGTTGTTGTTAATACAAGAAAGAAAAAGTTTTATTTTTAAGTCGCGGGTACGAATCGAATGATAACTAATTAACAGTAGCGTTACACATGAATAATCGGCTCGATCGCTAGCTAACGCTGTTGGAATTTCCAACCTTTCAAAATCTGACCAGTTACTCAGAGTAGCATTTCATCGATGGCCGATGAATGACGTGACCCGTTATAATCGCCTAATTTTTTTTCAAATTAAGATCGATGGACAGGAAGGCAAGAAAGGGGGAAAAAGAAGAAGAAGAAGGAAAACGAATCATATATGTTTGCTTTATTATATTTCATGTGGCTACCGTGAACGAATCGATTGGACAGAAGTACGAGGAAAAGCAAGGAAGTCACCAATAAATAGATTGATCCGGGGGTCCGTTGATTATTAGGAGAGGAAATAATTTGAAACGTTGAAGGAAAAAAGCAAACAAACTTTGAAAGTTCTGAGCTTTGGTCCGAAAGAGACAAAAAGAAGAGAATTTTTAGAGGACAAGGACCACCGTGACCTAACAAGAGATTTCTTTTGGGCGCTGCACGAAAGTGCACTTAATCGTCTCCTCGGACGACCGGGAGACCCAACAACCACGGCTAGCGATTTTGTTCATTGCGTCTTCGTATCGAGGGAAAATAATATAAATAACCTCTAAATTTTGACTCAATATATAATATAATTTATAAACTTTAATTCAATATGCAATATAGTCCTCGAATTTTTAATTTATTGGATATCATCTCTGAATTTTTGAAACATATTTAATTTAGTCCCTGAACTATACGAAAATATTCGATGTAATCCTTCAATTAATTTCAGTTCAAGGACTGTATCGAACATTTTCATATAGTTCAAGGATTACGTTCAATATGTATCAAAAGTCCAGAGACCACATTGAACAAATTAAAAGTTTAGAGATCACGTTAAATATTAGGCTAAAGTTCAGAGATTACATCGAACAAATTAAAAGTTTATGAACTACATTATATATTAAGTTAAAATTTAGGAATTGCTTATGTCATTATCCCTTGTATCCACCGATATTGGCTTTTGCTTCTTTTGTCCTTTTTTTTTACACTTTGAAGGTGCCGAGTCTGCCTCTGTCGATTTTATGCAGTTTGCTCGTACCTCTTCATTCTTCATGGGATCATGTGTCTTTTTATAAGCTTTTCTTAGGTATGCTTTTTTTATTTTATATATATATATATATTCAAAGCAACACGATACCCTCTTCGAGCGGAAATCAGTAGGGGTGAGCGGTTCCCGGTCCGGTCCGGTTCCAAGGTGGAACTGGGAACCGGACCGAGGGAAGCGGTTCCCAATTTTGGGAACCGCGGACCGGACCAGTTGGTTCTATGACCGGGAACCGGACCGGATCGTCGGTCCGTTCCGGTTTCGGTCCGGTCCAATGGAACCGGTTACTTAGAGTTTAGGATTTTTTTTGTCAAACACTTAAGGTTTAGTTCACATTTTACTAATTTTTGTCAATAAATTTATGTCAATGAAGTTTACTTAAGGTTTAATTCACATTTTACTATTTTTTATCAATGAATTTATGATAACGAAGTTCACTTAGAGTTTAGTTCACATTTTATTAATTTTTTTAAAGAAAAAAATAACAAAAATATATATTAACTAGTCGGTCCGGTCTGGTCCGGTTCCCCCTTGGAACCGGGAACCGGACCGCCCGGAAACCGGTTCCGCTTTTAGGAACCGGGAACCGGACCGATAGTCCCGAGAACCGGACCAAACTCGTAGGTCCGGTCCAGTCCGGTCCGGTCCGATCCCGGTTTGGGCGGTCCAAGTTGCTCACCCCTAGAAATCAGAATGCTAAAATCGCATCACAGATCTTCGAATACTTCACACCAAACAGAAGTAAGGACTACAAAAGACTACTGGACACTCTGTTGAATCAGCATCTACTATTTCCTGAGTAATTCAAGACAAGGTCTTCCCCAGTTGACTGAGACAGCACCACAAAATTACATCCCCTGTTGTCTTTTCGGTTACAAAATGGACAGCAAGCATGTAACATGGGTTCATGTTGCTAATGAACACGTTCGACTACAAAATTACCGTCCCCTACTCTAGTAAAGAACACAGCACCGACTCATTTCTTGGCCTTCTTCACCAGCGTCGTCTTCAGCTTCGCGGGGGCAACCTTCTTCACAGGGCGTCGCCTTCTCAGAAGTCTACACCGCCTTCGCCGCGGGCTTCAACTTCGGCTTCTGGCCGCCTTTCTCTTCACACTCACCGCAGCTTTTGGCTTCGCAGCTGCTTTGGGCGTTGGCGGCAGCAGCAGCCTTCGCCTTGGGAGCTGCCGCCTTCGACCAAAAAAAATAAAAATTGCCCTCTCCCAACCTCGTCCCTAAGCTCGTTGTTGCTCCCGAAAAACTGCGAGAACCCGAAGCTCTTGTCGAGGGGCGGTCAGCGGCCCCTCGGCCTCTGCCTCACTCCCTTTCGGGCGCGCGAGGGGCGGCCTTAATGTGCTTCGTCGGTGACGGCGGGGAACGGCCGCTTGACGAACGCCGGAGTAGAAACGAGCGGAGAAGCAAAATCTGAGAGCCAAAAACAGAGATTCAAAATTTGAAAGCGCGTTTGCCGGAGAGAGAGACGCAGGAGAGGAAATATAGGGCGCGTTTGGTAACGTTTCTACTTCTCTATTTTTCTGTTCTTCTGTTCCTTGGAACAAAAAAAGAACAGAAATCTGTTTGGTAAAGCATTTTATTTTTCTATTTCTTGGAATAGAAAAATGGCCAAGAAATAAATTTGGAACAGAAATAAAAAGTAGATTTTTTCTACTTCTTTGTTCCCAGAAACAAAAAAAGAAATAGAAAGGTCCGGTCCTCAAGCCGCGACCTCAGCTCCTCGTCCATCCTTCGTCATCTGTAGACCGCCTCAAAGCACCGGTCCGGTCCATTCCCGGCGGGAATAATAAAAAAAAATTCATAAAAAAATTAAAAAATTCCCAAAATTCAAAAAATTCATAAAAATAAAAAAAATTCTCAGAAAATCCATAAAAATCAGGAAAACTCAGAAAACCCATAAAAATCTGCAAAATTCTGACACTGAAAAAATTTAAAAAATTTATAAAATTTTTTTTGGAAAATAAAAAGAGACAGATTTTGGGAAAGTAAAAAATTTTAATAAACTTTTCCCCAAAAAAAATCAAAAATAAAAAATTCACAAAATGGCTTAGAATAAATTAAAAAATTCCGAAAATTCATAAAAATTAGAAAATTTTCAGAAAAATCCCTAAAAAAATTAGAAAATTAAAAAATTCCAAAAAATCATAAAAATCAGAAAAATTCTCAGAAAATCCATAAAAGTAAGAAAAACTCAGAAAACCCATAAAAATTGCAAAATTCCGAAATTGAAAAAATTTTAAAAAATTTCATAAAAAAGTTTCCGGAAAATAAAAAGAAATAGATTTAGGGAAAGTAAAAAATTTTAATAAATTTTACCCCAAAAAAATAAAAAAAATTCACAAAATGGCTTAGAATACCTGTGACCACCCACTTTGAGTGAAATTTAAATTTTTTTAGGTGCCCAAGTGATATTTTTGAAGATTCCTTAGTTTAGGGATTAAAAGGGGTTTTATACCCCTAAAAAGGATTAGAAAAATCAATAAATCATGCTTATTGATTTTTTTCACTTATAACTAGTACTTATAGTTAAATAAAAGATATAGATTTGAATGCAAAAATTTGGGAATAGAAATTTTTTTGATTGTACCAAATGCATTTCTGTTCTTTTTCTATTCCAGGAATAGAAATTTTGTGCAGTTATCAAATGCATTCTTTTGCTCAAAAACTCATCTAGGAAATAGAAATAGAAAAAACTATTTCTGAAAAGAAATTGTTCTCAGAAACAGAAACGTTACCAAACGCGCCCTATTTGCTTTTCTTCTTCGTCTTCTGATGAGGACGAGGAACAGAAAGGACGGAGAGGAGAGGAGAGAGAATTGCAGAGCAGAGGGAGAGGGGCTGTAGGGCTAGCGTGCAGGCTAGGAAAGATGATGGAAATTATTTTTTTGCGGATAAAATCGTGGGTTGGCGAGTCGGCCCCACAAGCGCCACGTGGACCACGTGGAGCTTCCTGAGTGGTTCGGGACCACGCCTCCGTGGACGTCCCGGACCACCCAGTATTTTCTCATTCAGGGTTATATAGGGGTTAGCCTAGTGCGCGAATAGGAGAATTATAGCGAGTGCAGCGGCAGCGGCGGGAGCAGCATCGTTCCTCCTCCTCTCTTGCTTTTAAAAGCCCCTTTCGCAGCTCTCTCCCACTGTTTTACTAACATGGAACCTCCGCCTCCACCACCGCCACCGCCACCTCCACCTCCGCCTCCACCTCCGCCACCGCCACCGCCACCGCCGCCACCGCCATGTACCCTTGGTTTCTCTCTGGCTTTCTCTTTCACTCTCTGTTTTGACGGGATGGATCCTCCACCCCCTCCACCGCCGCCGCCGCCACGAGGTCCCCCTTGGCCCCTGCTGGGCCTTCAGGCGCTCTTGGGAGCGGAAGATAACGCCGGACTCATTCTCCAGAATCGCCCACAAAATTTTAATTTGATGATCGTACAGCAAGCGCGTAACATCCGCATCCCAACAACCAGGTGTTTTTTTCTGAACTCTCTTGACAATCCCCTCTCTGTTCCTACATACTTCCGTTTCATGTACACGTTTTTTCTTCTTTCTTCTTCTTCTTCTTCGGAATGCAGGGAGGCCCTGTATATCCTGCGCAATGGGATCGAGAGCTATTTGCACGTACTCAACGAGGACTCGTTTGGTTTAGATCACGATCTGCTGATTCAGGATCCCATTGTAACGAGATGGGTGAGAGGCTATGTGCTGGGGCGGCTGAGGTTGGCAGCTACTTTTGAAGATGCGGTTCGGGAAGAAAGGCGCCGAGAAGCGGTGGAGGCTTTTAATGGGATGATAGAGCGACAAATGAGGGCTGTGGGGGTGGACGCGCACGGAACTTTTCTCCATTGGCCTTCTGTTCCGATACCGGTAGCACGATTTACGGCCATCTGGGTTTGTTCCTACCCTCGTATATGATTGGAAGAAGCGCTGGGGTTGCATAGATCGCATGCGGAGCTCCTGCAGTCTTGAGGTGTTTTCATTTCGATAGTTTTCTATCTTAAGTCGATCGTGTTTTTTTTTTATGTTTTTGTTGTCGTGAGAAAGACATGGTTGGAGAGGAAAGTTGCTGGATTCTGTGGTGTTCGTATGTCCATGTTCTATCTTAGACGTTTCTGCTTTTATTAAGATACTAGAGGTTTTAATGGCAATGGACGATGTTCTATCTTAGACATGTCTTGGCCAGTTATCTGTTTATGGTTAATGGCAATAGACTATGTTGCAATTATTTTCCGATTACAATGTTTTATGGATCTAAATGGAATTTAAGAGTATGGGAATCAAAGTCTATGATTTAGCATAAGTCGATGCTTGATGCGGGAAAACGCGGTTCCTAAAACGAAAGGATTTCCCTAATTTTTTCGACGGTTAAGCTCCGACAAATGTGATTCCTAATTTTCTGGAGGAAAATCTTTGGGACGAAAATTTTAGGTGCCAACCATTTGAGAAGACAATCTCATCTTCTTTGTGCAATTGGGAATTTGTAAGAGGAAGGTGCTCTATTTTTCCATGTGCTTCTTTAGAGAAGTACTGTTACGAATGTTCTTTTACACAGAATGGGCTCTTTGTGCTTTGAGTATATGGAAATTGTGAACAAAAATCTAAAAATTATAAACAGAAATGTTTTTTTATAATACAGTAACCAGCTTCTATTTACAGAAACTGGGAATAGAAGCTGCCATAAATCTTGCCCATTCTCAAAGGAGAACGTTGGCCACTGGAGTGAAGTGAGACCCCTGAGGTTTAAACGTATATATTCCAAAAACTGTCATAAATTTCATTATTTGAACTTCTATTTTTAAAAAAAGTATTTCCACATTTTTTTTAAAGAAAGCAAATATTGGTATCCAACATTATATATAATAGACCCTAATGATTTTCTATTTTCTTTTTCTTTTTACAGTGTGGACAAAACAGTTCAGATATCCCTACAAATTTCTTATTGTACTGGAATTCACCAAAAGTTTACTTGTCCTGATCTCAAGCGCATAGCCATGGCGTTCATGATGAACCTACAAAGAACTTTCTGATCATGCATTGCATGGAGGGGTTGTATCTTTGAGGGTGGGGAGAGAGAGAGGGGGAGGAGAGAGAGAAGGTGGCCGTCTGTGATTATGTATTGTGGCTGCTCTTTCTGTTTGAGATCAGTACATCCGTCAACTTGGGGACCGGATGTCTCTCTCCTTTTAACTCTTTTAATTTTTGCGCGTCGCAAATTTTCAATTTGCCGTTTAGTAACAACGATCTCACGATAGAAAAGTAATTCTCACCGCAGAAAGTTCCTTAAACGCGATCTCAAGCGAATTGCTTCGGTTGGAAATTCGAAACTCGTAACCATGCTTCTCGAGGCACGATCTGCCGTCGAGAGTTCAATCAACTCGACCGTTCTTCGAGATTGAAGTGGCGATAAAGACCTAGCGAATTATTGGTTTCTGGTTTTTTGTGAGCTCCAAGCGCTCTCTGTCTAGGGTGTTTATCCGGTTTCGGTTTCTGTTTGTGAGTAGGTTTTTTTTTTTTCAAGGTTTATGTCCTATCCTTTTGGTTTAGTCTTGACATTTTCGATGGAGGTTTATGGAAGCAGCTATAGATGTTGTGAATCTGGCCGAGCCCAATTACAAATACCATGTAAATGATCATTATGTTTCGGCCTAGTACTCCACGTATAGTCGCGTTGATACATCAGGCGTACCCAATGGAATTAAAAGTGATCCGATTCTCTTAGAATACATGTAAAGTTCTGGTGATCAAAAAATTCTTATATGTGACTCACTGCATTATCAAGGCTTGGCGATGTCTTGGCCAGTTCTTTTGTTTATGGTTTATGCCATGACAACCGACTTTGTTGCAATTAATTTTCGATTTCAATGTTTTATGGATCTGAATGGAATTTTTTAGTACGGGCATCGATTTCCATGATACAGCACAAGTCGATGCTTGGTGCGGGCAAATGTGATTCCTAAAACATGTCCCTAATTTTTTTCAACGTTTAAACTCCGACAAGTGCGATTCCTAAATTTTCTATGCGAGGAAAATCTTCGGGACGAAAACTTTGGGTGTCAATGCGTGTGCCATTTGAGAAGACAATCTCCTCTTCTTTGTGCAATTGGGAATTGTAGAAGGAAGGTATTCTGTATTATTTTCCGTATATTTCTTTAAAGAAGTATGGTTACGAATATGCTTTTACATAGATTGGACTCTTCGTGCTTTGAGTACATGGAAACTGTGTGAACAAAAAAAATCTTAAAATTATAAACAGAAATGTTTTCTTAATACAATTACGAGCTTTTTATTTACAGAAACTGGGAATAAACCTAGATACCCTCCAATCTCAAACGAGAACAGTGGCCACTGGAGTGAGACCTCTGCGGTTTAAATGTATATTCCAAAAACTGCCATAAATTTCATTATTTAAACTTCAATTTTTAAAAAAAGTATTTCCACATTTTTCGCTCTTTTCTTATGTAATATATGGGAACTGTACAGAAAATTACTAATTAAGTAAAAGATAATTATTTGCCCTGGGAAATCGCGTTCCAAGGTATCAAGCCTAGGATTGTTCTTAGACAAGTACTCCCACCTTTTTGACAGCGTGCTCGTTCTCTCCACATCTTTCGGCCGGAGAAAACTTAGGGATGTGCCGAAGAATTTTATCGGGCAGATCGCACCAAATGAGTGGAGCTGCGAACATCTTGCCCTTCATTTAAGTTCACGCATTGAGCTTTTCGACCCAGAGGCCTCACGTCCACGAGTTCCGCGAGGCGCAATCTATCATGCGTTTGTTTGGAGCACAAACCGAATAAGCTTAACGCGTTCCCTTTGACGATCAGGCGAGGATTAGCAGCAAAACAGAAAACAAATTCCCATCATAGGAATGGTTGAAGCTTAACAACGACACTGAACCCCCCAAGGCCAGAAAACAAAAGAAAAGGAATTACCTTTTCCGGCGAGGGAATTGAAGCAGTGGAGTCCGACCAAAAAAATGTAAGAATGGTTTAGCTTGCCAAAGATAGGGAAGATTTTCATTTGAATTTGAAAAGTGTTGGGGATCTAAAAAATTGTGATTTAAAGCGTTAGAGATTCATCTTAGATGTAAATTTCGATCTCGTCCGTCACTTGATAACATACCATCTTGATTCACCATACTTTTTCATGAAATTGGTGGGAAAAAGTTTTAAGTTTGAAACCTTATATTTTGGTATAATCTAAGGATTTATACTACGTATCATACCAGGTTGAATCTCAATGGTAAAAGTCCGTCATTTAAATTTGTTTTCTAAAGTAAATCTGGTAGTTATACATTTGTCTTTCCATTACCAATTAAACAAAATTCCTAATCATATAACCCTCTAAATTCATCTCCTAGAATGCTTGGAGTTGTGAAACACTTTTTTCTTTCTTTGGAAATATCAATTTTTAAGATTCTTTGCACAAGCTCGAGTATTTGGTTTTTGCTAAGTGTCGTTAAAAAAATTCATAAATGACAATATATGTTTACAAGAATTAATGGATACCATTCGTTCTATTTCAAGTGAACATCAATACAATTCGGGAATGAAATCTATGCAAATGCTCTGTTTGTTTTGCGAAAAATGTGACATTTCTGAAAAATATTTTCCAGGAAGCCATTTTTCTAGGAAAATGACAATATTTTCCGGTATACGGCTGAAACTTGAAAATGACATGAAAAATATTTTTCGTTGTTCAATATCCAATTTGATTTTCTAGGAAAGTTACCAAAAAATTTGAAAAGTTTAAATTATTTTTTTCTTTTCCTTTTTCTTTTTATATTTTTTTCCCTTTTCTTTCTTTTTTTTTTCCTTCTTCCTTGGAGAGTCGCCAGCCATGACAACGGCCGTCGACCGGCCTGTGGCGAGGCTCTGCCTCGCCTGATCTAGCGAGGTTGAGTTCGTTCGAGGCCGGCGAGCTCAGGCCTCGCCAAATCCGACGAGTTGGGTGAGGCTTCCCGAGGACGTGAGAGCCTCGCCGCTAGCCGAATCTCGCGAGGTCGGAGCTCGTCCAAGGCCGGTCGGGCAAGCTCAGGCTTCGCCAGATCTGGCGAGCTGGGCGAGGCTCGAGCCTTGCTCGAGGTCGCCAGGCGTCGATGAGGCTCTGGCGACCTCGCCGGATCAATCGAGGCAGAGCCTTGCTGGCCTGTGGCGAGGCTCGAGCTCGCCTGTGACCAGTAATCGGCCGAGGAAGAAGGAAAAAAGAAAGAAAGAAAAGAGAAGAAAATAAAATAAAATAAAATAAAATAAAAATAATTAAGAAATTGATTTTTTTAAAAAAATTAAAAGAAAAAAATAAAATTTTGAAAAGAAAATGAGTCGAAAGAAGATATGGAAAATGTAAGCAGAAACCATTTTCCTCACTTTTGAAGATGTTTTTTCATTGATGGAAAATGTTTTCCATGACTAGTTTATTTTTCGTGAAACGATTGTCGGAAAATCCGAAAAACATTTTCTTGAAAGCTGTTTTCCGTGAAACTAATGAAGCCAAATATCCAAATGAATCTTAGAGAATATGGCATTACTCAAAATAAAAAAAAAAGTTTATCTACAAGAATCTTCCTGTTTCTAGGCATCCATAAATGATAAATTGCTGCACACCAGGCAACTTTGAAGATGAGATTGGGGACAGATGTGCCCTTCCAATCAGCACACGCCCATTGTATCTCTCGTATTCATAAATCCCAATTAAGTAATCCTCTATTATCCCGAAACTTATCTTAACGTCTTTGTATCATTTGGACTTTCGCTACTCGATTTAGGATAAGTTCTAATTTACCTATGCATTATTTTGTTTGTCGAAAAGGAAAAGTCCCTAAATGATAAATGAATAAAATTATTTTTGTGCTCGAGTGTGAATAAAATAATCGAAGCCGAGACTGAAGAGGCCCATTTGGGTCGTTCTATCTCAAGGCTCGTTTTCCATCTCTTATTTTGAGTCGAGCAAAACTAAAAAAGAAGAAAGAAAAATGAAGCTAATCATATCAATCAAAATTAACGTATGGTATAAACAAAATGAAGCTAATCGGGGTAAGTACAGCGCAAGTGCCATAACTTTTGTACGGAGGACACTTAAGTGCTATAACTTTTTTTTGGCTCACTTGAGT